GCAGTTTTTTTGGACAAAAAACGCAAATTAATAGGGTAGTATAAGCTCATGTTCCTTACTACTTTCTCTGTCACGGGAGCCTCTGTGCTGGACTAGCAAGGCTCCGTAGCTCAATCGGAAGAGGCGCTGCAGCTCTGAAGCTTGGAGGGTGCGGGCTCGATTCCACCCTGGCGCGGGCACGGATTATTTGGCTCTGAGGGCTCCACAGCGGACCCCTTGGTGCCCCAGCCCGACCATCCACTGGATGGTGGCGCAAGCTTGGCTGCACACAAAAGTTGACCCCCAAAATTCTTGCCCACGTCAAAGCCGACACGCCTGAGCCTCCCTTGTCGGTCCAGGAGTCCGAAAGAGGCGCCTTTTTATGCAGATCTGCTTTCGCCACCAGGCTGCATAATCTCAGTGAACGCACGCCAAAGCCGTACTGCCTTGCCCGGCATTGCTTGGCTCAAAGGTATTAGAGTACTTGTTTGTCCAAAACAAGCAGGGCCAACATAGAATGGCTTCTTCAATGCTTCAGGCCGCTGCAAAGCAAGCCAATGTTGGCATGCAAAGCAGCCGATGCATGTGCCGAAGGCACCAAAGTGGGCATAGGCGGCTGGTTCATATCCAGCCGGTCCGTTGGAAACCATATTTCCAGGAAGTCAGCAATGGCCGTGCCTCACCAAGGAGGCCCAACGCTATATAGCTTGCTTCGAAACCTTGGCTCAGCTTGCGCTCATGCGGGTCGCTTGGACCACCGAAGGCCAAGCAGTGCACGGCCTATGCATGCCTTCCGGCACGGATAATACCGCATCCGAAGCCGGAGTAAACAAGCTGTTCACCACAGCATGGCCTTTGCATTTTTTTTTGCAACTAGTAGCCGCATGGGCCTACAAGCACAAATGGTCAGTGCTAGCCTCGCACAGCGAGCGCAACGTGTGGGCTGATCAGCTCAGCCGCGGAAACACATCCGCATTTGACAGCAAGCCGCATGCTCGCTTTCGATTTCGCCCACGTGATTTCTGGCCCCATAAATCCGCGCTGTCGTTGCATCCGCCCGATGCCCCATGGCGGCCGGAGCATAAGAGTGCATCGCAAACGCTCTGAAGAGGGGGCGATGGGTTAGGCCGATTGCTTGGAACCCTGAAGGGCATTTGAGAAGGCTCCGCAGGGGTGTGCGGACACGGGGAAAGAACACGCGTTGTTTTTCTCCCTGCACCCCCGAGCCTTGACTTCCAAGCCAAGCCTTATAAAGAAAAAGAGCAAGCGCGCCTTTTGTCGGTCGTACTCTTTTGTTTTTTGGTGCATGTTCCCTTACGGATTGAAGCAGTGATCATTTCTCAACAGTCCATCATCTCTTTCTGCAAGCCATGTTGGTGAAACCGACAAAGGGGCCCATAACATGGGCCCATGTAAGATTCTTTAGAAGTCTGTAAGGTTTGGCCGGAATCTCACTCCTGCAAACTCCCACAGAAGCCTCCAAACCTGTGGGGCGCCCTTTTCCGTGGAGGGTCCTTTTGTGCGGGTTTAGCCTATGTGTTGGGGATGACCAAAACTGTGTGCCGGGCTCTTCAGCCCTCCGCGTGGGCCGGCAGTGTGCAGCCGACCCGTTGCCTTCGAAAGCTTCGCAGCCTGCTGCGGGGTCAGCCCTTGCTTGTCCGTGTTGTGACGGAAGGTCATCCATGATGGCCCCCTCCAAGTCGCTGTCGCTCAAGTTGAACTTTTTTGGAGTTGCTGCCACTCCTGCAGCGTAGCGGCCGGAACCTGGCCATCTCGGATCATGACCCGGAACCGGTAGGCCTTGCTCTTGTCTCTCTTCTCAACGCTTCCGTCGGCGTCATCCGTGCCCGCCCTCCTTATCCATGGTCGAGGTTCTCAGTGCTCTCGGCCTTCTGCTTCTTCGCCGGCATGATGTCACACAGAGATAAAGGACAACAGCTTCACTCTTATGGCACAGGACGCGGCGGCGCGTGGAAAAATGCATGTCCGTGAACAACGCTGTGATTGTGGGACAGTTTGTGGAAAAAACATGAAAACATGAAAAAATGAAAAACAAATGGAACACATGCACAAATTGAAGGCAGTTTGAGTGTAGTTTCGCGACGCACACAGCTGTGATTGTGTGACAGTTTGTGGAAAAAAACATTAAACAATGAAAAAATGAAAAGCACATGGAAGAACATGGCAGTTTGAGTGCGCGTGACTGCTGTTTGTATGTTTTCAGTGCAGTTTGACTGCAATTTGAATGTAAACTGCGCTCAAACTTCACTCGAACATTCAAATTGCACTCAAACTTCACTCAAACTTCACCCAAACTACATTCAAACTGCAAAACTTCACTCAAACTTCACTCGAACTCCTCTCAAACTTCACTCAAACTTCACCAAAACTGCAAACCTACACTGTGTGAGTGAAGTTTGAGTGCAGTTTTGCACTTTGAGTGAAGTTTGAGTGAAGTTTGAGTGAAGTTTTGCAGTTTGAATGCAGTTTGAGTGAGGTTTGAGTGCAGTTTGAATGCAGTTTTGCAGTTTGAGTGTAGTGTGAATGCAGTTTTGCAGTTTGAGTGTAGTTTGAGTGAAGTTTGAGTGAAGTTTGAATGAAGTCTGAATGCCCTTTTGCAGTTTGATTGCAGTTTGGATGTAGTTTGAATGTATTTTTGCAATTTCAGTGCAGTTTGATTGCAGTTTGATTGCGGTTTGAGTGCAGTTTCAATGCAATTTGCATGCAGTTGGCAGTTCGCATGCAGTTTTGGATGATGTAACGCATTTTTTTGGCACCGTTAGTGCAATTTCAACATAGGTTTGCAGCTTTGTGTGGAGTTTTGAGTGCGTGTGCTTGGCACATTGAATGAATTCTTGCTGTGGTTGATGTAGTTTCGTGGAATTTTCAGTGGCGGAGCTTCATTTGGGGCCCATATTCCGCCAAGCCAACGAAAAATGTAAAAGCAACTTGAAACCTGTGATAAAAAAAACTGAAAATGTCCTACATCTAATGCCCGGATTCTTATTTGCCGACTTGTTTAGCAGTTTGGGCACATGTTCCAGTGCTTTTGCGACGCGCTTTTCGGCAACACTGATGCAAAAGTGGGTTTGGATTCTTGTTATAAGCCATGTGCATTGGTGTAGTCTTGCTGGAACGCCCTCGCACAAGACACGAGCGCTCTCAATGATGGTCACAGCATGCGCAGCAAACACTATTGCAGCATGTTTTCGGACCTTTTCCATGCCCAACATCTCACAATCTCACGCGCAGTATCATCGGACAGCTGCTGAATCAACAGTCTGTGCGCATGGACACTTAAAAAAACACTCACCAGGGTTCGGTTCTTTGCCGTTCTACATGGTTCAGGAACCATGTCTGCCTGAAGGTACGAAACTTCTCCTGTCCAATCCCGCTCTTCCACAAAATCAGCGTAGCACTTGTCCTCCTCATCCTCAGTCACTCTGGACCAGTCCACCTTCTCCTTCTTGGCAGCTGGCTTCTTCAGGGTCCGGCGGGCGGCAGCCGGCTTCTTCATGGTCTGAAGTCTGACTGATGACTGGCTGTGAACTCTAGAAATGGCTGCACAGAGAGCATCAACTATCATGTGTGTCAGCTGTCACTCTATTTGATGCACAGCACAAGCGGCGCGGGTCTCCTGTCACAAGCACATTGTCTCGCACACGCTTGCTATAGCCTACATCGGCAGATCCTGCCGCAAAAAGACTCTCTGCCTCATGCAGAATCTGGACCACCGCAGCATCAACACTGTCACTATCATGTGTATCAACTGTCACTCTATTTGATGAAAGGATTGACAGTCGCGCCCGACTCCACGAACCTTCCTTTCTTCAGATCAGAAAGGTTCATGGTTGCCAAAACCTTCCTTCTGTCCTCTGACAATAGCCATCTTTGATGAGCCTCGTGTTGGCCCACACCAAGCTCCTTCTGCTCGCGCTTAAAGTCCAGGTGCATCTCCCACAAGCTTCTCGCCTGGCGCACGGTAGAGAGAGCCAAACAAATTGGACAAAGCTACTGTGATCAAATTGCCAAACATGTCCATCCTCACCCTGGTCAGAGTGCCCGCCATGTTTGTTTTGGGGGTGGAAAAAGAGCAAGACATGTCTTGATTGGCTCATGCTTGCGCCTTTTTTTTCTTGCCCTCGTCTGCCTTCATTGGTTGCGCCTTGGTCTTTGATTCTGCCTTGGCTTCTGCCTTGGCCTTTGCCTTCGCCTTTGCCTTGGGCTTTGCCTTGGCCTTTGCCTTGGGCTTTGCCTTGGGCTCTGTCGGCGGAATCTTTCCATCAGCTTTGGGTTTTTCTTGTTTGCTCTTTTTTATTTTTTTTTGGGGGGGCGCGCCTCTTTCAGTTCTTCAAACAAGCTGTCTTCTGAGGACGTACAGCGTTTTCTCTTCGGCTTTGTTTTGCCTTTTTGCTGCCACGCGCTCTGGTGTTTCAGCGCTGCGTGTGTCCGGTGTCAGCGGTACTGGTGTCACGGCTGGAGGAACTTGCCGATACTTCCAGACTCGAAGATGTTGCTTTTGTCTTCAGGTCACCCTTGTTTGCTCTCTCTGCCTCCTTGTCCATGCTGGCGGCCTGTCGGGCCCTCTCGTACATCTGCTCGAAATCGAAAGACTGCATCTCCTCCCCTGAGTCCGAGTGTTGGTCGTCGTGAGTCGGCTCGCATATGGTGCGAGCCCCCTCCTCATTTTCGTCTTGGACCTCGTTCGCCAGGCTGTTGGATAGCATCAATCACGGTCTCGACCTGCGACGCTTATTTTCTTTTTAAAGCGCTTGGTTCAGGTTTTGTGGCCTTGTGTGCCACGTCCTTGAGTTTTTTGTATTTTACGCGTGCCATGTGTAAGTGTGCTGCCTGTTGCAATGACAACTTTTGCAGCGCTTGCCAGTTGGCTTCAAACTGTGGTTCCTGTATTGCACTGTATTGGCGGTTGGATCGTGTGTATCAAGCCCATATAATGTTTCACGAGGTTCAAAGAGACGGATTGTCCGTCACCTGTTCGCACCGTTTGGTGGCTCATGCACAGTGGGCAGGGGGGCCAGGGGCGAATGTGGCGTCGCAAAGAATGCCAAATCAGTTGGGCACGCGCGACTTGGTTCTTGACCATGCTTGGAGGTACATGGCGGCGTTTTGCAGACACATGATGTGAACTGAGGATATGATGTGCCCAAGCCTTGGAGTTGCATAGCGTCAGCACTCTTTCTATTCTTGCCTGCTTCAGGTTAGACCTCAGGCCTGAAAGCGTGGTTGCATTTGGTTGCATGTCCCGAACTTGACAACAGCTCGCAGGTATTCAGACGGCAAAGCGGCCGTTCTGCGTCATACAGATGGCAGCGGCTTCGCATACTATCCTTCTGGGCGCAAGGCTCCGATTTCTGATTCATGGCGAAATTGGTCTGTTGTTCACGGGTTGGATGAGGGGATGGTTTTGGGAGACACAGTCATGTCCACCAGGCCGTGTGCATATCTGCTTCCGGCATCAGCCCGAGGGCGCATCAATTCCGTCGCCCGAATGCGTTTCGAAGCATGCTGAGGCTTGGATGGAGCTGGCCGCGCACGCAGGTTCAGTGCCGTGATTCACAACGACAGCAACAGGACACCCTGTTAAGTTGGTTGTCAAACATGGGTTGAAAGTGGCAAACCACTTTCTGTGAAGACTGCAAGGGGGCATTTTCTTGATCCACGTGGCCTCCAGGAACCCCATTGTTGGCGTCTTCGATGAGTGGGGCCTCGGCTATGCGGAAGGCATGGTGAGTCCAGAGCTTAAGCGATCACCGTAGAGGCTTCAGCGGTCGCCAAGCAAAGCGATTGAGGCTTTACTAAGGGTATCCTTGCTCAAATCCCCCCTGTGCCTTGCAGGAGATACCAGAAACCACTCATACTCTCCAGGGTGGCTTCTGAACTTGACCCATTGAAACTACTTCACTCAGGGGTACCAGTACTGTGAGGTGAGGTTTCTTAGGTGCCGGTGACGCTCAGCCGCCCAAGCTCCTGATCTCCGACAAGGCGCAAAGGGAATCTCCGAGCCACCCACTTCGGCCGCGATCCGCACAAGCTCAGGTTCTCGGAAGCCGATTTGTCGGCTCCTGCGACTCCGGATCGAAGTAGGTGCAAGGAATTCACTTGGGTGTTGCCCGGCGAAAAAAAAAGAAAGAGGAATGGCAGAAGCAGGTCTCAAAACGGCTGGGTTCTGGGGGCTGCTTGTGTCGTTTTTCCCTGTGCGATATTTTGACTGCTGACACGATGCAAATGGGGGCAGTTACTTTGGCCAGGCCATGACCGTACTTGACGGGAGCGGCAAGGCAGGGCTTGTTCGGGCAGCGGCAACTGTTTTTTTTTCTTCAAGGGACGTCAGTGAAAAGAAAAGCCACCCCCTATTTCGGGGGGTTCTGTTCCGTTCTGAGACAACTAAGGGCCCCCAAACAGCGGACTGGTTCCCGTCTGTCTACAGGGGTCATTGGCCGGAATCGCGAATTGGGAGATCCATCGGAAAGACCCTGCGACTCACGGGCAGTTCTGGGCCAAGCCCCCCGACATCCCACTTTGCCCTTTTGGGGCATGTTTGCGCGTCCCAGAAGTGGAAAGAGTTCTGTCTCGCTTCCCACTGGATGCCGCAATACTTTCCCGCGGTGTCCTCTTAGGACCCCTGACACAGAATGGAGCGAAGCCGTCAGGCCACGGAAGTGCCCAGGACGAAGCCTACCACGGACTTGGTCTTGCGGGTGCGCCTTTTTTTTTCTTCTTTTTTTTTTTTTTTCAAATTGTTCAAACAACAGAAAACATATTTTGCCGTTTCGCAGGCGTTGGAGGGCTTTTGCATGATTTGGTGCAGGTCAACAAGTTCCTGACGCTGCGGCACAAGGGAAGACTCTCGGCAAGCGGCGGTTTTGGCGGTTTTGGCGGTTTTGGCGGTTTTTGCCAAGAATGGGGTGTGAAAGAGGCTCGGAGGCCGTGGTTCTCCTCAAAGGATCAAAAGAATTGGACAAGCCCACCGTTCGGAAGAGGGCTTGTAATGAAGAAGCCATGGGTATCGTGTCACAGAGGCAGCAGGAACACAGCTGAACGAAACATTTGAGCCGTGGCTTGAATATCGAATTGCGACAGTTGCAAAGTGTTTCCCTTGCAGGTTTTTGTAATTTGCTTAGGGAGCCTCAAATAGGCTCAGGACGAAGGGTCCATAGGGAACATGGCTTAAGGAGTTCTGACACTACTGCCACATCTGACAGCTGTGGAACCTGCGGCCTGATTTGAGGCTTCGGTCAACATATCCCGTGTTCTTTCGTCCAGTTGGGAGGGATAGGGTGACTCACCCGCAACAAAATCAGCGGACTCACTCATCTTCTCATGTGCTTCAGGGTCTGAGATTTTGGGACCATGGCCGATGTGTTGTGCTTGCACAATGCATGAGTGACGTGATTGGCTTTGCATCGCTGCGCCTCAGTGACAGGATAGGAACACAGAGGCACTCAAATAACTGAATCAGTGCAGATGACCCCGTGGATTTTGGAGGGTGCCGAAATTTTGGTGTTGGTCACGGCCAGGCCTTCAATCTCAGATCCTCTTTTCGAAGTTCTTCTTTTGGTCTTGATCACACCTTCTCCCCAAATGGGTGGCGGAAGCACAAATCGGTTTCCCTTCGAAACCACCAACCCCCAAGGATACCGTCAACAAAGCACGCTCTTTTGGGCAACGGTGATCAGCCGCTTCAGGACTAGATGCTGAATATGCCGAATAGTCCATGGGTTTGGACGTGTAACCACGTGCGTATCAGATTCTTTTTCTTCCGTGAACATTGTCACAAACAATAGTAACTTGGACAGTTCTATCTCTCTGTCCGTTTCTTTCTTGTTGTCTTTCTTTGCCTGGCTTTGGCAGGCAGAAGTGTCACTCGTGTGTCTTTCTTTTCTTCTTCTTCTCCTTCTCCTTCTTCTTCTCCTTCTCCTTCTCCTTCTCCTTCTCCTTCTCCTTCTCCTTCTCCTTCTCCTTCTCCTTCTCCTTCTCCTTCTCCTTCTCCTTCTCCTTCTCCTTCTCCTTCTCCTTCTCCTTCTCCTTCTCCTTCTCCTTCTCCTTCTCCTTCTCCTTCTCCCTTCCCCTTCTCCTTCTCCTTCTCCTTCTCCTTCGCCTTCGCCTTCGCCTTCTCCTTCTCCTTCTCCTTCTCCTTCTCCTTCTCCTTCTCCTTCTCCTTCTCCTTCTCCTTCTCCTTCTCCTTCTCCTTCTCCTTCTCCTTCTCCTTGTCCTTCTCCTTGTCCTTGTCCTTGTCCTTGTCCTTGTCCTTCTCCTTCTCCTTCTCCTGCTCCTTCTCCTGCTCCTTCTCCTGCTCCTTCTCCTTCTCCTGCTCTGCTCCTTCTTCTCCTTCTCCTTTTTCTTCTCCTTCCCCTTTTCCTTCTCCTTCTCCTTCTCCTGCTCCGCTCCTTCTTCTCCTTCTCCTTTTTCTTCTCCTTCCCCTTTTCCTTCTCCTTCTCCTGCTCCTTCTTCTCCTTCTCCTTCTCCTTCTCCTTCTCCTTCTCCTTCTCCTTCTCCTTCTCCTTCCCCTTCCCCTTCTCCTTCTCCTTCTCCTTCTCCTTCTCCTTCTCCTTCTCCTTCTCCTTCTCCTTCTCCTTCTCCTGCTCCTTCTTCTCCTTCTCCTTCTCCTGCTCCGCTCCTTCTTCTCCTTCTCCTTTTTCTTCTCTTTCCCCTTTTCCTTCTCCTCCTCCTTCTCCTTGTCCTCCTTCTCCTTCTCCTTCTCCTTCTCCTTCTCCTTCTCCTTCTCCTTCTCCTTCTCCTTCTCCTTCTCCTTCTCCTTCTCCTTCTCCTTCTCCTTCTCCTTCTCCTTCTCCTTCTCCTTCTCCTCCTTCTCCTTCTCCTTCTCCTTCTCCTTCTCCTTCTCCTTCTCCTTCTCCTTCTCCTTCTCCTTCTCCTTCTCCTTCTCCTTCTCCTTCTCCTTCTCCTTCTCCTTCTCCTTCTCCTTCTCCTTCTCCTTCTCCTTCTCCTTCTCTTCTCCTTCTCCTTCTCTCCTTCTCCTTCTCCTTCTCCCTTCTCCTTCTCCTTCTCCTTCTCCTTCTCCTTCTCCTTCGCCTTCTCCTTCTCCTTCGCCTTCGCCTTCGCCTTCGCCTTCTCCTTCTCCTTCTCCTTCTCCTTCTCCTTCTCCTTCTCCTTCTCCTTCTCCTTCTCCTTCTCCTTCTCGTTCTCCTTCTCCTTCTCCTTGTCCTTGTCCTTGTCCTTGTCCTTCTCCTTGTCCTTGTCCTTGTCCTTGTCCTTGTCCTTCTCCTTCTCCTTCTCCTGCTCCTTCTCCTGCTCCTTCTCCTGCTCCTTCTCCTTCTCCTTCTCCTTCTCCTTCTCCTTCTCCTTCTCCTTCTCCTTCTCCTTCTCCTTCCCCTTGTCCTTCTCCTTCTCCTTCTCCTTCTCCTGCTCCTTCTTCTCCTTCTCCTTCTCCTGCTCCGCTCCTTCTTCTCCTTCTCCTTTTTCTTCTCCTTCCCCTTTTCCTTCTCCTCCTCCTTCTCCTTCTCCTTCTCCTTCTCCTTCTCCTTCTCCTTCTCCTTCTCCTTCTCCTTCTCCTTCTCCTTCTCCTTCTTCTCCTCCTACTGACGTAGATTGAACATCCAACTTGAGTCCATTGCCTCTGTCCATTGCCGGGCGCTTGGACTTAGGAACCTTCCTGGACTTCCAATGTGAAGGTGTGCCACTGAGATCTTTCGGGACCGCATGTTGCCATGCGGCGTGTCGGCAGCTCCAGTGGGGATGTTTTTTCTTTGCGAAAGACAAATCAGGTGTAAGCCACACCATGACCATCGGGGAGATGCATGGCGACGAGGCATATGGCATGATAAGCTGTTTGGAGCTTTCTGATGTGTTGATCACCATGAATTATTTGAGTTGTGCATCCCAACATTGGAACATGAGGATCATTTTCTCCTGATGCTGCCCCAATGAATCTAGGGCTTTCTTAATCAGCTGGGCTTGCGAAGCAAGACTGCTTCACCTGTTTTTGCCGGTCTCTTGTGCTGGAAGTTCTTTGTTTACCCTCTTGATTTCCTGTCATGTGTGTGTGTATGCCTGTTTGACCAACTCGAGCAGTCAGTCGCGCAGTTTGACCACCGGCACGTTTTTGGTTCTTTGCTTATTTGGCTCTGCCATCTTTAGTGGGGCTGCAAAGAAAGGCATTTCTTTTTGCTACTGCGAATGGACAAACTGCTGCAGCGGATGGATGAAACGCGATGAATACTGGGAGAAACCACGAATCCCATCTGGCGCAAAATGGGTTTCGTCCAGCCACTGCCTTTTTGAGGCTACCCGTGTCTGGGTTTGTTTGAGACGAAGCCAAGGGGCAATCCCCATTGTTTTGGGGGCCCGCTAGTTAAGGCAAACCCAATATGAGTAACCAAGGAAAGTCTTTTTTATCCGTTTCGCATCCTTCAACTGGACTCCCACAAGAATCCTGAAAAGCGGCTCAGTTCCATGCGTCCGTGAGGTGAGCCTTACCTCCCCGACGTTTCTCGCTTTGGGGCTAAGGGCAGCCTCTCTTTTGCCAGGTGGATGGCATGGCGATGGCTTCCGAGAAGAAGACTCTGAGCGAGGAGCGCGGCACTCGTGCCGGAATAAGAGACTTGCAAGGGGTGCAAGTTGTTGCAACGTTTTGGTGGGTTTTACCGAGGAAAACCAAAGGGAACACCACATTTTTTTTTTGGGGGGGTCTACAGAAAAGGACACCCAGGTGTCTCTGCTTGTAGATGTATCTTAGGCTGGGCGAAAAGCACACTCACTTGGGGTTGGTACAAGCATCCCAGAGCGGTGGGCTGTGATGCTTTTTCGTTGTTTTGTTGGGTTTGGGGTTCTTTGTCCCCCCCTCTCAGGGTTTTTTGGGCTCCGATTTAGACAGTGGTAAGAATTCTTCTGGACCATGGCTCGTATAGCCTACTGGGGGCCGCATGTGGGACCAACACGTGAGTCATTGCAGCCTGATAGTAGTACAATATGGTGACTAGGGATCAGCGCATGACCTTTCCATGGCTTGTATGGGTCCAAGTAGAGGTGGTTTTGATGCTTGGTTCGCGTGCAGGTTATAGTAGGCCCAGGTAAACTTGCATAGCCATCTTTTATTCCAAGGGGGACTACGTGTGGATATGGCAATGGGTCAAAATTCCGTACCCTCAGTGAACATCCCACTCCCCACTAAAATGGACTAAAGGTACCATTGGTTTTGAGCCAGAGCCATACGGCTGCTAAGATAATGCAACAAGTGCCATGTGAGGTCCACGCAGCAGCTGCAAGAAGCCACGTTGAAGCTGGAAGGGGTGTCGACCTCAGTGCGAGTTCCTCTTGGATGCTACACGCAACTTGGGCCATGGCTCGTGCAGCGTGTTGAGATTGCGGGGGTTCAATGAGTCTTTTGTTTGGTTCTCCTCGGAAAAATCGATCAACCGGGGTCCAGGGTTCCGCACTGAGACGAACTGTACTTGATCTGAAGGGGGGCAATGACGAACGGCTGGTCATGGTTTTCTGGTGGCCCGTGGCAACGCTCCCCGCGCGCCGGTACCGTGTTTTGTGGTGGTTTCTTGGCCGCGGTCACGTAGCTCATTCGTGGGGAAGTGGCAGCCGCGATGTGGCCGCTCTCCGAATGGGGACCGCTGCCACGACCGGCAGAAGCGCTTGTTTCGTGGCCGTGCCGGAAATGGCTGTTCAGGGACGCGAATGCGCATGGGCCGACGGGCCGCGAATGCGCATGGGAGCGTGGGCGTCCTGGTTGCGCACCGCCGTGCCCTTTTGCCCTTTGCTCTTGGCTGCGCTGTGCGGAGAAACGACGACGACGTAGCTTGTTCCCGCTGTGTCGTAGCCGTGCTGGGGACAAGGATCCGAACAGGGGCAGCTGTTTTGCGGCCGTGCTATGCGGGAAGGTGCCCACGACGGGCTCACGGGCACCGTACCAAAACGGTTCCGGACGGGGATGATGCTGTGCTGACGGGGCGGGAACGGTAGTTTTGTGGCCCGCCCATGCGCGTGCCTAGAAACCATGCGCGTTTGAAGCTCTTTAGGCGCGTGAAATCGCGTGAATGCGTGTGGCCTGCCTTGCCTGGCTGGGTGTGAAGGACTTGCCGTGGCGCAGCGCGGAAAGCGTTTTGTTGGTGTCAAGGCAGCATCCACAAGAACACATGTCCCATGTTGACTGTGCTTCAGCAGACGCTTCATGGGAAACATGTTCTTCTTCTTCGTTTTGTTTCTGGGCCCCCGAGCAGGGCAGTTTCGGCGCGGAAAGAAACAGGCCTTTTGCTGGCGTGGGGTTTGGGAAACCAAAGGTTTAACCGTTTTCGAGGGACTTTTTTGAGCATGTTTCTTGCTGCGGGGGGGTGTCTTGTGCCAGGTTCAAAACCTTGCGAAGACCTTGCAGGCGGGCAAGTTGCAATTCCTGGCTAAGGACTTGCCCTCTGCTCCAGGGTTCCGTGATTCCGTTGTTGGAGTACAGGCAGCGCCCAGGGTTCACAAGTCTTTTGGGTGCCACCAAATGAATAGCGAGAGCAAGCTGACGTTGGCGAGCGAGCCGTGGGTCTTTCCGTCAGGTGGCTTCATCCCAAAGGGAACTGAAATCCACCGCCCCGGCGCTTGGCAGCACGGCGACCGTCAAGGACGCATTTGGCGGACACATCATCGCACTGGAGTTGATGACCACAAGCCATTTGTGCTTCGTAGTTCCTGCTTGAAACAAAAAAGCAAAGACACAAGTCGCCTTTGAAGGACGTGCTCGATCAACTAGCAACTCTGAAGACGAGCTGGAGACTCAGTGAGCAAGCATCTTTTCAAGTCTGCGCCGAATGTGGTTAGTCCGAGGCCTGTCTCATCCCAACCTGGCACCAGACTTGAAGTGGGACACGGAAATCAGGCAGCTGTCAAGCCACCACGTGTGAGTCTGTGCGGTCTCTGTGTGTGTGTGTGTGTGTGTGTGTGTGTGTGTGTGTGTGTGTGTGTGTGTGTGTGTGTGTGTCTGTGTGTCTGTGTGTCTGTCTGTGTGTCTGTGTGTGTGTGTCTGTGTGTGTCTGTGTGTCTGTGTGTCTGTGTGTCTGTGTGTCTGTGTGTCTGTGTGTCTGTGTGTCTGTGTGTCTGTGTGTCTGTGTGTCTGTGTGTCTGTGTGTCTGTGTGTCTGTGTGTCTGTGTGTCTGTGTGTCTGTGTGTCTGTGTGTGTGTGTCTGTGTGTCTGTGTGTCTGTGTGTCTGTGTGTCTGTGTGTCTGTGTGTCTGTGTGTCTGTGTGTCTGTGTGTCTGTGTCTGTGTGTCTGTGTCTGTGTCTGTGTCCCCGCGTGAGTGTGTCTTCAGTTCTTGGCTGCGGTGACTGACAATGTCATTGCTAGCCTACTGTTGGCTTGGGGACGAGAGGGGACAGCCAAAAGCTTTCCACACAAACACACACCAGCGCGGCCGGGCCCCAGTTTCCCCCATGTGCTCTTGGGGAAGCAGATCGCGATTTTGTCCAGCCACCATATTTGGTTGACCTAAATGGATTCCAACAAATGGGTTTTAGCCTACACCAAAGGACAATGACGTGTGTGTGTGTGTGTGTGCGCGCGCGCGCGCGGGTGTGTGTGTGTGTGTCATCCCAGGACCTACATAGAACCCCATTAAGGTCACTCAACACACAAGCTTTCGACTTGTCGCAACCCGGCAGATTAAAGAAGATGCTGGCCAAAGTGCATCCTCAGTGCCCTGGCCGCGTGCCGGCCTAAGCTGTTTTCACTACCCCCGACCGCTGCCCGGGGGATACCCTTTACTTGATGGCTGTCGAAGTGTATAGATAGCCCTCCTTGCCTTCTTGCCTTTGCACCGAGGGGGTCGTGAAACCCTGGCCGGAAAGTGCAAGAAGCAAACTCCGGGTTTTTGGCTGAGGCGGCCGGCTGGAAGATCTCCCGGGTCAGCGGGAAATGCACCGAGGACCCGCGTTCTCATCGCCTCCCGGGGCATCTCGGTGGGTCCACTTGAGCCCAAAAATACAAGGGATCCGATCCACTTATCCTGTAGGAGGGTGTTTTACCTCACACCCAAGAGTCAAAACAAAAGACCTCGCTCATCACTGAAATCATAATTGTTTTTCCCAAGCCCGAGAGACCCTTCACAGGGGGCCTTGAAAATGCAACTCTTTTTCAGGCGCCCAGGGTAAGCCCTAAGCGAACTTCTCGCGCAGAGGAGCGTTTGGCCAATGCCAAGCCCACCGTCAACGCCCCTAGAAGCATCGCCCAGGTGTCCCAGCTCAAGGCGGGCTCATAAAGAGAGCAAAGAATTCGAGGTCTTGAGGTGTTGAGTTTAAACGACTCGTGTATTTTTGTTGTTGCAGGATCTCTGTTGTTCTCTTTTCTTTTTTTTGCCGGCTGGGCATATGCATGACATGAAAACAAGGCCCATGCGCATCTCCTCGCTGAGCCAGCGAAACCGATTCCATTTGAGAGCCAACCTCCCGTCTGAGTTCTCGTCATGGAACCCCCCGAAAACAACCTCCGATGCATAGGCGCCCTTTTTGGTTGCTTCGGTAGAAAACTCGATGGCCCTGGTTTACCTGGTGGTTTACCAGGACCATCTATTTCCCCTCAAAGGACACCTATGCTCCGATGTATTTGAAGAGGAGACTCCTTCAAAGAAAACACGCGGGGGCCCCTTTTCTTGGGAGTTCCTTCCCTTCATTTCAGCATCCAAACTTTCCGCCTCCGCCAGCTGCCGGATCTGATCGCGGAGAACGCCTCGAGCACCACGCGGGGAGCTGAGGCTTCAAGAAGGTTGGTGGTCGACATTCTTGTGATCGGTGCGACAGATGCAGGGAATGAGAATTGGAATGACCCCTATAAACCATCCAACTGGTGGTTTCCTTTAAGGGGACCAAAGCCTGGGCTCATTCCATTTCTCATTCCCTGCTGAGCATCAGCAAGTAGTTGGATGGTTGTTCTCTTTCAAGGCCCCCCCCCCGGGCGCAAAATGGTGGGTTTCCCTCTTGGGTTTTCCCTTTACCACGAACAGGGGGTACGAACTCCAACAAAGGCAGCCAGCTAGGATTTTGTCCAACAGACACAAACTAATTTTTGTTCCGCCCTTGATGGTTGATTCGGCATTCTTGTGTTTTTTCTTGTTCTTGTTTGGTGATGTCTTCCTTACATATCAGGAGCTGTATTTTCTTTTATACATATATATATATATGTATTTGTTTGTCTTGCTCTCCGAGGCTGCTGGTGGTGGTGTGTTTGGCAGTTCGAGCCTTAGAGGGTCACGCGCCCGAGCCTGAAGTTGGGCGTGCGTGAGTCACTGGAGGTTGATGCGTCTGGACCCGGAAGGGACTTTCGAAGAACGATAAGGATTCCTGGTATTTCCCTTTGTTTCCCCGATTTGGAACCATGTTGGACAGGTATCCTGCGAAACGTCCGGGCTATGCCGCGTTTGGGCACGAGGCCTATGCCAAGGAGCAGAGCAACTATGCAGAGACCTGAGCAAGACTGGCCCAAAGACTGGCCCAAAGACTGGCAGTTCGGGTGGGGCAAAACGAGAGGAAACTATGCCTCGGCAGCCTCTAAAGGTTGCTTCCCCGGGCTTCCAAAGTTTCAATTCTCCACCCATGCCCAGGTCAAAAAACCCCTTGTGAAGAGGGATGGTCATCCACCTGGATTCTTAAAAACAACATGCTGATTCCTTTTTAGAGATCCAGGACCGTAAGCCAAACAAAGGGAGTTTTGACTATGTCTCTGATTTTTCGGGATTGGTTTGAGAGGAACGTCGCCGCATCCTCAGGCTCGGCTGCTGGCTGAGAAGGCGCATGCGGCGCTCTGGCACAGGCAGGGGCCGGGACTTTTTCAGAGTCGAGTTTCTCTCTTTGGAACCTGGCTCCCTTCTTTTGGTAGAATGGTCAGGCCGGGGCAGGTCGGCCAGGCCAAGCAGTGGTGTTTCACGTGCCTCAAAAGAACGACACCAACCCTTTGGAAGACATAGATTTGGGGGTTCTCTTTGGGCTATTTATTTGGGGTTGCCTCAAAACGGGAAGCTTTGAGGGGAGGTTTGGACCGCCTGAGGTTCTGCTCGAAGCCAGAGAGCGGGCCTCTGCACGGCGCTCGGATGGGAAGGCGGCCTTGCGTGCCTTGTCCCCTCGGCGCCCGTTTGGGCCAACAGCCGCGGGCTTTCCAAGACCGCGGAAGGAGGAGGCGTTTTGTCCCTCCACGGGCCTTTGAAGCTGGCGGTTTGAGTTCTTTGTCCTTCTCAGAGCGAAATCGAGAAGTGGGATGCTGGTAGTTGGGATCGGCGGGTGACACTACGAGCATGTTTTTTTTTTTTTTTTTTTTTTTTTTTTCAGAGGAGCTGGTTATAAATCGAAACCAGGAGAACACCTCTGAGGCCCGGGGGTGTGTTTGTATTCTTTGAGTCTGCCCTTTGTCAGGTTGGTTTTCTGGGAAGCCAAAGGAACGCCGAAACCACTTTGGAGTTTCCCCTTTTGTTGAGACATACTGATGGATCCACCTCTCACTGCGACGAATGAAACCACAAATCCCAACTGGCGCGAAATGGATTTCGTCCATGAAAGAGCTTGCCCTCTGACTTGCCCCCCATTGAGACCCTGTATGGCCGAGACTTCCTTGGTTCCCACGGAAGGAATCACCCTGGTGTACCGTTTGGTTACCCCTACGATTCCCTGAGCATCCCCTCCAAGGTTCCCCTGAGACTCCAAACCATTGGTTTTCAGAATGGTTCTCTTCCAACCCTCCCGAACATTCACAAGGGTCCCCCAAAGAATTTCCAAAGAATCCCTCCCCTGTTCATTGGTTTCCCTTTGGTATCGCAACAAAATATACCATCCCCTACCCTTTGGTTCCCCGCTGCCCTCTGATTTCCCCCCCCAAAAGTCCCCGCCCTATTCCTTGGCTCCCCTGGAACACGGAATCCACCAGAGAACTGGCTCGAGGAACGTAGAGTCCCCCGAACCAAACCCGTGGAGAGACCGCACAAATGGACATGGTTCAAGCAACATCCGAACCCAAAGCCGCGATCACCTGGGGGTCCCGTGAATTGGGCTCCAAAAGGTTCCCACAGAGCTTGGGAAGCCTCTCAATGGGGCTCCTGTTACACGAATGCTAACCCCGGATGAATTAAACCCTGGTGGATTTTGATCGGGGGGTGTCCCCTAGTGGTTGGATTCAGACCACTTGAGGGGTGCTCCCAAGTGGTGGGACGGGTCTATTGGGTCAACATTCGTGCTTTCTCGTGCCACGGTTTCGCGACCACGTGCATACGAGGCCGGTGCGCCTGGTGGCGGTCGAGCTCACGGAAGCCAACAGCTTCACGGAGCAGTGCCCGGAACCGAAACCGGCGAGGGCCGGGTGCTGGGACCCCTCCACCGTTTTTTGTTTTTTTTGTTTTGTCCTTCTTCTTCTTCTTCTTTTCTTCTTCTTTTTATTCTTCTTCTTCTTCTTTTCTTCTTTTCTTCTTCTTTTTATTCTTCTTCTTCTTCTTTTCTTCTTCTTTTTATTCTTCTTCTTGTTCTTCTTTTTTTTTTCCTCGGGTTTTTTGTTTTGGCCCCCTTCTTCTTTTTGCTCCCCAACGGATTTGACAACACAGTTGAGCCTCAAAAGAAGATGACACCATGGTCAAAAGGAATCAACAGGCTATAAAAGAATCCGAGAAAGATTGGGGGTTCTTCATTCCTGGATGTCGCATCTAAGATTTCTACCAAATGCCCTAAGGCTTCATGAGATCTTCATCCACTTTTTCTCACCACTGTAAAAGTGGTATATGAGCCATCTTGGATAATCGGGCCACTCGGGGAGAAATAGTGGATGTCTGCAAACACGACAATCAGCTGGGTGTGGCCGGCTTTCCAAAAGGGATCGTTTACCTATGGGGTCTCTCTTACGACATACCCCTGGTGCGGAGATGCGTTTCCCTCAAGCAACGGGCTGTCTTAAAGCCGCCGTGGTCGAAATGGCTGAAAGATCGCCCGGGGCTCGAGAACCTCTCGAGAGTTTGGGGAAGCGCTCCCGTCCCAGCTGTGAACCAAGCTCTCAGCGCACTGTCCAAGAGAGAAATCTAGGCATGGGGGCTGGCCTTTTTGTTTGTCCAGCAGGTATGAGGTTACCCTCAGGTGGTTTGCAGTTGGAGTTCGGCGGTTTGATAGGTTTTTGTCTTCTTGTTCACCCCGGGTTCTGTTCTTCCTTTTGGGGAAGCGACCCAACTCTGGATGAAGAAGAAGCTACCCACTTGGCCAAACTCCGGGCTGGTTCGCTCCAAGGCGACACGCAAAACGGGGCGGGAAGGCCGCCAGGTACGGGGTGAAGGAGGTGCCCTACTGCCTGATGTTCCTGGCCGGGCAGCAGGTCTATGCCAAGAGGCCCGGTGGACGGATCACGGATCGATCGAGCCGTCGGAGCCGGAGCCTGGGAGCGAAAGGGGGGGGGGTCGATTCCAAACACACAGGCCATATTCCGTCTCAGTGTTTGCCCACGAACGACACGTAACAACTTCCATTGACTTGAATGGGCTTGAAGAGTACACAAGGCAGGCAGCTTTCGGCGTCGGCCTTTTCGGACGTTCCCGAATGAGCGAAACATGGGGAGACTCGCTTCCCCAAACATGGACATGTCCGGTGTTCTCTTGAGAAATCATGCGTTACTATGATTGGGGCTCATCCCATCCAGGGGACACTGCATTTCTTGATGGCATCAGACCGAGTTCCAGCCCAACCCTGGAGCTTTGTTTTGGTTGCAGGGGGGGGGGGGGCGATGAAGAGGCTTCCATGCGTCACTGACATCGGGGATGCGCACCGTACCTGCAAAACGGCTGTGATGCTTTCCTTGTTGACCGGGGTGGTGATTGTTGACACCGTGCTTTTTTGTCATTCAAGCGCAGCTGAGTGACGCCACGAACCACTTACTCGAATGAACCCACTCGAAAGAACCCGCTCGGTTTGATCTCATAACGCGCACTTCGGTCTTTTCCCCCCCTGGCGCGTGCGTGTGTGTGTGTGTGTGTGTGTGTGTGTGTGTGTGTGTGTGTGTGTGCTTTAAGGGAACTCTTTTAAGAAACCTGAGGGACGCCACAGCTTCTTTCTCTATTTTGACACATCCCCGGTGCAGGCTGCATGGCATACGCATGGCTCCTCGTGATGCAGCAGCCGCAAAGCCCAAGGCGGTCGAGTTCGGATTCGTCGGGCCGGGCTGGTCGCTGGTTTTTATTAAGGGAGGCCAACCATTTTGGGGCATTGTGAGAGACACCTCTTTTTCTGGTTGTTTCTCGACAAAACCATGAAGGAGTCTTCCAATACAGATAACTGTGTATGAGCCCTTACGTGGCAGTGGTTGTGTGCACCCCATTTTTCTTGGGTCTTGGTAGGCTTGGGGGTGGGAAGCCATCTTAGATTCCCTATCCATGTCTTGACACAGCCAGCTTCCTCTTTGCAAGTTGTCTGGATGAATTCCAATCTGCCGTCAGGTTCTGTTGGTGGAAGCCAACCCAGCGGTTCAGCTGAAACTCGAGAGGTGCGAGTCGTGACCGCGTGGTCGTACGCGGCAAAACGGCGAACTGCCCCAGTTTTTTGGACGCCTCAAAGAAGACGAAGAACTGTTTGCTTGGGGTAATGGCTTGGGGGAAGTGAAAGCCCTCGCGCTCGCGGCAACCTATTTTGAGGGCCTGTAAGCTAAAAGATAAAATGGAGGAAAACAGATTACTTTACTAAAAGGTCAATCCGACTGCGTGCAGGGCCTCAAGCAATGTGCTGGCTGCCATCAGCGAAGAACCTCAGTCGAAACAAAATGGACGCAAGACGGCGTTGACCCCGAACCAATAGCAGCCTTTGTTACCATAATCTCGCTTTCTGTTTGGTGGGGATTCCCTTTGTCACCATCAGCCCCAAGATCCAAGTACGCGGGCTAGCTAGCAGCTGAAAGTGCTGCCCGGCAGAGTTAAAAGGTTACTGTCCTGACCCGGGCTTGCCTTCTTCATTCTTTGAATCAAGTTTTGGCCTGTGGCAGTGCCTCAGAGATTGTGGCGGCTGTCACTTGCGGGCTCTGTGACAGCTGGCTGTCACAAGCTCTACAGGCTCTGTCGCAGCTGTTGCGCGGTTGGCTGGACGGGTGGACCCCTCATGTGGCGGCCGGACATTGCTTAGAATCCAGCAACCCCAAACCTGGGCCAATGTTCGGCAGAAAGAAACTCAGGGGAACTGGGATGGTGGGATGGGCCGCCCAAGGGGAGGCAGTGTCCAGTGCCCCCTTTGTCCAGGAACCTTCGGCGGAACGGCTACGGCAGCGACCTGGTGTCGGGCCAAGGTAAACTTTACGGGTCGAGGGATTCGATTGCTGGGCGAATGGGTTTGTCCCCTTCGGTTCTCCCGCCCAAAAAGGGGGACCCTCCCGAAAATCGGAAGCGCGCTCAAATGCCCGACCTCTGTGTGGTTGACGTAACTTGCATTTGGGGTTTGGATGGTCACCAACCCCTTTTGGAATTTCAGACACAAGGGTCACCGGTCCAAGTTTGCGTAAAATGGGTGTGGCTCAAAGTTAAAGAGCTAGGGTTACGCAGGTTTGAGTCTTTGGTTCCATTTACCAGGGTGCCATTTTGGTACATGTTTTGACCCACAGCCAAATTGGGCCGTAGGGGAAAACTTTGACCAGAGCTTTGACGATGCAGCCGCAAGGCCATGGATACGGCGCAGGCTGCCCGCCTGGCGAACAGCGAGGAGCGCAGGGAAGTTTTTGTTTTTTTGGCGCGTGCAAAGATGATGCGTCAGAACAGGCGGACTGGGGCCCCACAAGTGGCGGTTTTCCTTTGGTTATGTTTTGAGCCAACCGATGCCATGAACAGAAAAAGACTCAACCTAGATGGAACTTCGAGCTTGAACGCTTGAACGAAAGCGCTCAGAATTTTCTCCGTGCAGGGGAGCGTGGCTTAGCTCGATTTCTATTCCTTACACCGGCTTAGACACCCCTGATTGTATAGGTTGGCATGGCAACAGGGTCTTTAAACTAAACAAATGCAATTGCACATGTATATATGTATCTATGTAGAATATATATATATATATACACATAAACTACTCCCTGTATTTGTTTTTACGTATGTATGTGTGTGCTTCACTCTCGAGCGGCTCTCTGCAGGCAGGTGCAAGTGAGTTTCCAACCCAAAAGGACCAAACCACACTCCACGAGTCAAACATACTGGCACCAAGTTGATATCCACGGGAGGGGGGTGGTGCCGCAACGTAAGCTTTGGTGTGTGTGTGTGTGTGGCGGCAAGTCTGCAACATGTATATATATATATATGTATGTATGTATGTATGTATGTATGTAAACATATATATATGTAATATCCTTGCGCAGAACTCTCGGTTTGCCGTCGGTGAAGCCGCTCGGTCAGCTTTCCTTTTCTTCACCGCAGCCATAGAGGAGTGAGCTCAATCCAGCCTTTGGAGTGGGCTTCTCTATACGGCAGGCTTCGATGGCCTGCATGTCAAGCCACCTCACGTGGGCGCTTGCCGATCTCTTCGCCTGTATTTTCCCATGCGGCGCAATGTCTCTCAGCACGATTGCCTCTGCCAGCCATCTCAAAACAGCTCCATGAGTGGCGCTATTCCCCTCCCCCCACCCCCCTCCCACCCCCCTCGCCTGCGCGGCAATGCCGCGCACTGAGTGTTTCGAAAGGTAAACGGCAGCGCCGACTTCTCCCCCTTGGAACGGTCGCGATGTACACACTGCGCGCGCGGACGATCGGGCAACTCCTACTGGCACGTCGTGGTAAGTATATATACATATATATATATATATACATACCCTTCTGTGTATATATGTGTGTATATATATATATGCATGGATACAAACGGTGTATGTATATATATATATATATACATACATACATACATACATACATACATACATACATACATACATACATACATACATACATACATACATACATACATACATACATACATACATACATACATACATACGTAGCCAGCACGTGATGTCCCAGGCATACGGGGTGCTGCTCATCTCCGCCTGCCTGCCTGCAGAGCAGCTGCGATCCGTGTTCTATGCTGCCGGGGGTCTGAGTTTCATGGATCCCCCCAAGGGGTGGCCCGGTTGCCCAGTGGTGCGATTTTTATTTTTTTTTAAAGTAAGGGTTCCCCTTTAAACTCAACCAACAAAAAAGGGTGCCCTTTTTCTCCCATGGCCACTGGGCATCTGGGCCTGTGGGGGAGGGGGGGCTATCCCAGGATAAGCCCAGGATAAGCCCTGAAGAAGGCCTGATTAAGGGGTCAATAGAGGATAGATAGCCCCCGAATTCCATGTTTGTTGGATGTCCCGGGCACGTTCCAAATATCAGTTGGACATGGGAGATACCCTCCAAATTCCCAAATTCCCATGTCAAAGTTGGACTCAATGAATGTTGACTATGGCTCATATGAGGTTCGTAGCCTGTGGTCCGTTTGGGAATGACGATCTCTAATTCACAATAGGGGACTCACTCATTCGGCCATGGCCATTGGGGGAAAGATTCGTAATTTTCAGGCCGGACCCCACGCACTTTCTTGCAAGTGCACGGCAGAATTCCGCACAAAGAGGCGGAAAAGGAGTTGACTTGCCTCAAATTGCAATGGCTTCTTCGGTTCCATGCTGATCAGGTGTAAAAGGTTGCAATGGGGGGATTGAGCATCCTAGTGGGGTTGGTTCTAGGGTGGATGCAGTCAGAACCTTCCTTGTTAATTGCAGATTCAAGTAGATGGGCGGGTTCATTTCAATGTTGCCCCACAAGGTGGTGGCTTAGACCATGAAAACCGAATGGGTACAGCTCTGAAGTTTGGATTATGACTGATAGTTTGGGGGGTTGGTGGGCGGGCAAGCAAGCCTTTGAAAAAGCCGGCTTAAACCGGACATGCCATGGTCAAAATGCTTTGTTACTTTGGGGCTTCAATCGGGTGGTTGGGATCCTCCTTAGTCCCAATTGTTGGTTAGAGACCCTCCTCATATTGGGATTCACCACCAATCCCAACTGGTGCGAAATCCACATCAGTGGAAGAGTGTGCCCCCCCCAAAAAGAAAGAGAGAAGCCGCCGAACAATGAGTACACCCAGTCGGTCCTCACATTCCTTCAGTGGTTTCAGTCACACTACCTTTGCCAAGGTGGGTTTCCTTCAGTGGTGCGCGTGTATCTTAAAATAGGGAACTGCAAACATGTTTCGTTTCCTTTTGCTTTGCATTAAAGCCAATCATCAAGGGGGTTCCCTAAAAGGAGACGAGCCACCCATGTGGGGGTTGATCAAAAGGGCCTTTACATGGGATGACCACCGGGTGTAAATATACGATCTTTCCCACATGCAAACACTTACCCATGGTCAAAATTAATTTGGGCCCAAAATGGAATATTGATCAACCCCCCAGTGTAAATATATACAGAGATGTAAATATACATATATATCTATGTGTATATATATACACACACACGCATACACATGTCGTTTGGAAATTCGGGTTGAACCGCAGGTGAGGAGCAAGCAGCGCGAGGCGGTGCTCCTGGCCTTTGATGGCACCATGCTCCAGGGTGAGGATGGCGGCGTCTCCCTATCCTCTTCGGTGTTTCCATTTGGTTTTGGGGTCCCCTTCTACATGGTGGTGTCCTTTTTGGTTTCCTTTTTGGTTTCATTTTTCATTTGTTGGTGGGTTTCCTTGGGTTTCCTTTGGGTTTGCTTTGGGTTTGCTTTGGGTTTCCTTTTGGTTTCCTTCTAGTTTCCTTTGGGTTTGCTTTGGGTTTCCTTTTTGTTTCCTTTGGGTTTCCTTCTTGTTTTTTTTGGTTTCCTTTTGGTATTCTTTTTATTTCCTTTGGATTTCCTTTGGGTTTCCTTTGGGTTTTCTTTTAGTTTCGTTTTAGTTTCCTTTGGGTTTGCTTTGGGTTTCCTTTTCATTTCCTTTGGGTTTCCTTCTTGTTTTTTTTTGGTTTCCTTTTGGTATTCTTTTTATTTCCTTTGGGTTTGCTTTTAGTTTCTTTTGGGTTTCCTTTTTATTTCCTTTGGGTTTCCTTCTTGTTTTCCTTTTTGGTGTCCTTTTGGTATTTTTTTTTAAGTGTTTTGGATTTCCTTTGGGTTTCCTTTGGCTTTGGGTTTGCTTTGGGTTTCCTTTTCATTTCCTTTGGGTTTCCTTCTTGGTTTCCTTTTTGGTTTCCTTTTGGTATTCTTGTTATTTCCTTTGGATTTCCTTTGGGTTTCCTTTGGGAATCCTCTTCATTTGCTTTGGATTTCCTTCTTGTTTTCCTTTTTGATTTCCTTTTGGTATTCTTTTTATTTCCTTTGGATTTCCTTTGGGTTTCCTTTGGATTTTCTTTTAGTTTCCTTTGGGTTTCCTTCTTGGTTTCCTTCTTGGTTTCCTTCTTGGTTTCCTTTTTGGTTTCCTATTGGTTTTCTTATTATTTCCTTTGGGTTTTCTTTTAGCTTCCATTGGGTTTCCTTTTCATTTCCTTTGGGTTTCCTTCTTGGTTTCCTTCTTGGTTTCCTTCTTGGTTTCCTTTTTGGTTTCCTTTTGGGCATCTTTTTATTTTGTCTGGGTTTCCTTTGGGATTTCTTTGGGTTTTCTTTTAGTTTTTTTTGGGTTTCCTTTTCATTTCCTTTGGGTTTCCTTCTTGGTTTCCTTTTTGGTTTCCTTGGTTTCCTTTTTGGTTTCCTTGGTTTCCTTTTTGGTTTCCTTTTGGTATTCTTTTTATTTCCTTTGGATTTCCTTTGGGTGTCCTTTGGGTTTCCTCTTCATTTCCTTTGGATTTCCTTCTTGTTTTCCTTTTTGGTTTCCTTTTGGTATTCTTTTTATTTCCTTTGGATTTCCTTTGGGTTTCCTTTGGGTTTTCTTTTAGTTTCCTTTGGGTTTCCTTTTCATTTCCCTTGGGTGTCCTTCTTGGATTTCTTCTTGGTTTCCTTTTTGGTTTCCTATTGGTTTTCTTATTATTTCCTTTGGGTTTTCTTTTAGCTTCCATTGGGTTTCCTTTTCATTTCCTTTGGGTTTCATTCTTGGTTTCCTTCTTGCTTTCCTTTTTGGTTTCCTTTTGGGTTTCTTTTTATTTTCTTTGGGTTTCCTTTGGGATTCCTTTGGGTTTGCTTTTAGTTTCTTTTGGGTTTCCTTTTTATTTCCTTTGGGTTTCCTTCTTGGTTTCCTTTTTGGTTCCTTTTGGTTTTCTGTTTGTTTCCTTGGGTTTCCTTTGGGTTTCCTTTGGGTTTCCTTTGGGTTTCCTTTGGGTTTCCTTTGGGTTTCCTTTGGGTTTTCTTTTAGTTTCCTTGGGGATTCCTTTTCATTTCCTTTGGGTTTCCTTCTTGGTTTCCTTTTTGGTTTCCTTGGTCTCCTTTTTGGTTTCCTTTTGGTTTTCTTATTATTTCCTTTGGGCTTTCTTTGGGTTTCCTTTTAGTTTCCTTTTGGTTTCCTTTTAGTTTCCTCTTAGTTTTCTTTGGGTTTCCTTTGGGTTTCCTTTTAGTTTCCTTTGGGTATCCTTTGGGTTTCCTTTTAGTTCTCTTCTGGTTTCCTTTTAGTTTCCTTTTAGTTTTCTTTGGGTTTCCTTTGGGCTTCCTTTTAGTTTCTTTTGGGTTTCCTTATAGTTTCCTTGGAGTGTCCTTTAAGTTTCCTTTGGGTTTCCTTTTAGTTTCCTTTTGGTTTCCTTTTAGTTTCCTTTTAGTTTTCTTTGGGTTTCCTTTTGGTTTCCTTCTTTTTAGTTTCCTTTTAGTTTCCTTTTCCTTTCCTTTGGGTTTCCTTTCAGTTTCCCTATCATTTCCTTTGGGTTTCCTTTTAGTTTTCTTTCGGTTTCGTTTTGGTTTCATCTTTCTTTTCCTTTGGGTTTCCTTTTGGTTTCCTTTTGGTTTCCTTTTTTTTTTTTAGTGGGTTTCCTCTTGGTTTTCTTTTCATTTCCCTTGGGTTTCTGATTGGTTTCCTTTTGGTTTCATTTTTCATTTTTTGTGGGTTTCCTTTTGGTTTCCTTTTCCTTTCCTTTGGGTTTGCTTTTGGGTTTCCTTTTGGGTTTCCTTTTGGGTTTCCTTTTGGGTTTCCTTTGGGTTTCTTTTGGGTTTCCTTTTGGTTTCCTTTGGGTTTCCTTCTTGGTTTCCTTTTTGGTTTCCTTTTTGGTTTCCTTTTTGGTTTCCTTGGTTTCCTTTTTGGTTTCCTTTGGGTTTCCTTTTAGTTTTCTTTTTGTTCCCTTTTGGTTTTCTTTTTTTTCCTTTGGGTTTCCTTTTAGTTTCCTTTTGGTTTCCTTTTAGTTTCCTTTTCCTTTCCTTTGGGTTTCCTTTTAGTTTCCTTTTGGTTTCCTTTTGGTTTCCTTTTAGTATTCTTTGGGTTTCCTTGTTATTTAGTTTTGTTGTCCTTTTCATGTCCTTGTCATTTCCTTTTCATGTCCTTTGGGTTTCCTTTGAGAAACCCCATTTGGATGGGACTGTGGTGCGAAATCCATGTCGCACCTAAGAAACCATGGGAATGACACCACTGTTTGTTGGTATATTCACGTTGAGGACTCAGATTTCTAGGGCTGCAGAAAAAAATGATGATGATTCCAGGGTGTCTCTCAAAGTTTTGGGGTCTCCTTCTGAGACAAGACCTAGATGCTGCCAGTAGCTTCCAGCTTACATCGGCCCTTGGGATCCATATCCCTCCGCGGCTTCCCGTGGGAGATTTTCATTTCGGTTTCCATTGGGCTGTGGCTCAAACACGTGGTACCAACATGGCACCTTGGCACCAGCCAAAGACAAAACCCTGCGGAACCCCAGCTCTGGAATTTTCAGCCACACCCATTTGGCTTTGCACTCGGTTTCCTTTTGGTTGGTACGGGGGCAAAATTCAGCCACCAGGATATGGACCCCAGGTTAAAGGTCCATGCGATAAGAAGTTTGGACCCACAACCAAATTGGTGATGGGTAGCTGGTCAAGTCTCTTTTTTTTGAGGACAAAACTGAAAAGAGAGTTGTTTTCAAGGGAAACTATGAAGTTTGGGGTCCACGATTTTCATTTTGGGAACAACTGAGAAGTTTGTTTCCAAGGGAGGAGCATCCAAATCCTTGGGGTCCACTATTTGCAGAGACACCCATATCGAACTTCGCAAAATGATCGGTTTCCCTTACACTCCCTCCAGGCCACACTCAGAGCAGATCAAATGGGATATGGAAGCACCAACATGGGTCGTTTCCTTTTGAATTCCGTTCTGAAAAAAACACCTGAATATCGTCTCATCATGGCTTCATAGCGTCATAGCGTTGTTTCCCAACCCAACGCAAGGGACCAAGGTATCAGCTTCATTTCCACCCCCCCAAAAAACAGCAAGTTTACTCAAAGAAAAGGAACCGCGGCGAGTCGCGAGTCGCGTGCTATCGACCTGAGAGTTGGATGCAGGAGTTGGAGGAGCGCAAGCAGTTCTTGGAAGAGCCCGGCACCGAGAAAGACCAAGCCAGCCGCCAAAAAATAGGGAATGGAGGAGCCATGCCCTAAAAACAGCATGGACATACCAGAAGCCCTCCAGAAAAGTAGATGGAATGATTCTTGGGGCATTTGTTCCATCACTTTCGGCTTGCTTAAAATGGGTCTTTTGCCTCCAACAGGCACATGGAACCTGAAAGGGAACGGTTTTTGGTGGAACCATTCTAGTATGGACCCTCTTTCAGGTTTCATGTGTGTTGTTGGAAGGGTAACGACCATCTGCATCCCAAGTAAAGCTCCAAGCTGAACGTCCAAATTACCACTCCAAACCACCAAGCGAAGCAGAAGAAGAAGAAGAAGAAGAAGAAGAAGAAGAAGAAGAAGAAGAAGCAGAAGAAGCAGAAGAAGCAGAAGAAGCAGAAAAAACAACAAATGTAGAAGAAGCAGCGGAAGCAGAAGTAGAAGCAGAAGCAGAGGAGGAGGAGGAGGAATGCAGAAGGGCCAGAAGCTAAAGAAGCCAATGGATTTGCAAGTCTGCCAAGCTGCTGAGAGACCTAGCCTTCGCCTTCACCTTGCGAGGTGCTCCTATGTCTTCCCCTACAATCCCAGCTATACGGCGCGGCTTGTGGCGCAAGCCGCGGGTTTTGCTGTTTCGGAGTGGTTTCGGGGCCAGAGGGGCCCGGGTTTTGCTGCTTCGTTCTTGGCTGGAGTATTGGGTTGGACATCAGAACTCAGTGGCTGGCGGTTGGATTCGCCTCCCAGACTTGGAATTGGACTCCTTTCCGATGTGCTTTTAATAAGGTTGTTGAAGTGGACCATGGGACAGTCTGCCAAAAGCAGGCGTTTACAAAGGAACCAACCTGAGTTGCCAACCGCTTGAATATGAGTAGAATTGGAACCTTTTGTCTCCTCCTGATTGAAATTTGATACCCTGATAGTTGGCCAGCGGCGTGGTTCCCTGCACATCCAGAAAGCTTGGTATGCCAGGTGTGCAGGTCTCATATAGAAAGTAATCGGTTTTGGTTCGATTTGAGACTTGGTGCTTTGTCCCTTGCGCAAATCTAAGAGACAACCAGACTACCATTCATCATGTATGAGCCCATCGCTCAGATGGACAAACACGCCACTCCCCGAAAAGGTTGCCATGGGAAGCCCCATACCAGAAGTGAGCAGTGACACAACCCATGTACCAAGCTGGAAGAAGTTCCGAGTGTTGGCTTCCGTATGGTTTTCATTTGGGCCTTAGTTCAACTCCTTTCAGGTTTAGGCCAACCCAGAGTTTATGTTGAAGCAAACAATCGTTTAAGCAGCCTTCGTTTGGTGCGTTGAAGGAGGACCAGGCTATGGTTGTTGAAGCTTGTGTTAAGGGGGGGGGCCCTCAAACATGGCTTCCCCTTACAAACAACCTGAGAAAGGGTACCCTCCAAAACAAACAGCAATGCCCCCTGGAAGTGGTTATGGTTGCCCCTGGAATCCCTGGTCACCGCGATGACCCACAAACTGTTCCCCAAGACATCCCCCCTTGCGACTGCCGGGGAAAATCCGGCATGATTTGTAACCCCACCTGTCGCACCCAACGCCGGAGGTCCGTCCGTTTTGAGAGAGGTGCCGTGGTGAAAGGACGGATGGTCATCCACCTGGTAAGGATCCTTCCTAACCATTCTAATGATTCCCAATGCGAGCCCCAGTTTAATCAACCCCAGTGGATCAGTAGCGGGGTCCCCTGGGTTTTGAATTATCGCTTTCGGAGGGGCCACCCAAGACAGGTAACCCACAAGAAAGGGGTACCAACCATACGGGGGTTGATCAATATTCCCTTCGGCCCCCAAGTTCTGACCCTGGGTCACTTTTCCCATGCGCTTGAAAAGCACCACATACTTTTTCCTTTTTGTTCAAAATTCCTAGCCCCCAAATGCATGGGCAACTTTTCCCATGTGACTAGAAAAAAAGCACGCCCATTTTTCTAGCACTTTTCCCAAATGATGGCCAACTTCTTCCACCACGTGGTTGGAAGAAAAAATAGAAGAAGACACCACCCCCCCATTTCTTTTCCCAGTTCTTTTCCCAGTTCTTTTCCCAGCTCTTTTTTTTCTCCTTTTCCCCCAACTCCGTGGTCCTTTTTGGCACGGAGTCTGGACCCGTCAGCCGTCAGGGCCTGGCCGCCATCCTGGCGCGCTTCGACGTGACGCACGTGGACAAGGGCCTGGCCTGCGTGCCCTGCACCAGCCACAAGCAGGACGTGTGTCCCACGGGCCAGGGGGAAGGCGTTCTTTTTTCTTTGGGAGTCTTTTTTTTTTTGGGGGGGGGAGCCCCGTTCTCTTTTTTCTTCTTCTTCTTTTTGGGGGGGTGGATTTTTTTTTGGGCCCCTAAGCAGGAAAACCACACTTTTTTGGGGGGGCCCCCGAAAAGAAAAAAGAAACAGTCCATCTAGCGGCTGATTTTGGGATCGCCTGGTGAAGCAGGCGGTGTTTGGATGTATCCTTCAAGGAACCCGTTTTTTCTTTACCCAACTGGGAGACTCCGCTGCACGTTTGCACTGGTTTGGATTTTGGTTTTGAACTCTGGCCGAGAAAGGGGACAACTGGTGACCCCGGATTCACTTCCAATCGGGGACAGCTTTCTTTTACTCGACCTGGGGGTGTAGGAATCCGAACGTGACTTTCCTTTCCCCAAGAGGACAATCGGCATCGTGATTTTAACGCCTCCGGCTCAGGCCGCCGACATTACAGGCCTGCTTTCTTATTTGCGTCCCTTTGGAATGGTCCCCTTGCCCCCTTCCCCTCTGAGATTTTTGCCCCCCCTTTCTTTGTTGAGATCCATTCCCCCTTTCCGCCCTAAGGCCTTTTCTCCCTCTGATGTTTTCCCTTTTCCTCCCTACGTTGTTTTCCCCCCTCTCCCTGTTGAGATCCTTTCCCCCCTTTCCCCCCTAAGGCCTTTTTCCCCCCTGAGATCTTCTCCCTTTTCCTCCCTTTCCCCCCCCTTCCCCCCTAAGGCCTTTTCCCTGCCTGGGATCTTTTCCCTTTCCTCACTGAGATCTTTCCCCCCCTTTCCCTGTTGAGATCCTTTCCCTCCTTTCCTTCCTAAGGCCTTTCCCCCCGCTGAGATCTTCTCCCTATTCCTCCTTAAGATCCTTTGCCCCCTTTCCCCGTTGAGATCCTTTCCCTTCTTCCCTTTAAGGCCTTTCCAGATCTTCTCCCTTTTCCTTCCTAAGATTGTTTCCCCCCTTTCCCTGTTGAGATCCTTCCCACCCTTTCCCCCCTCAGGCCTTTCCCCCCCCGAGAGCTTCTCCCTTTTCCTTCCTTAGATCTTTCCCCCCTTTCCCTGTTGGCCTTTTTTCCCCCAGATCTTCTCCCTTTCCTCCCTAAGATCTTTTCCACCCCTTTCCCTGTTGAGATCATTTCTCCCCTTGCCCCCCTAAGGCCTTTGCCCCCAGATCTTCTCCCTTTCCTCCCTAAGGTCTTCCCCCCCCTTTCCTTCCCAAGATTGTTTCCCCCCTTTCCCTGTTGAATCCTTCCCACCCTTTCCCCCCTGAGGCCTTTCCCCCCCTGAGAGCTTCTCCCTTTTCCTTCCTTAGATCTTTCCCCCCTTTCCCTGTTGGCCTTTTTTCCCCCAGATCTTCTCCCTTTCCTCCCTAAGATCTTTTCCACCCCTTTCCCTGTTGAGATCATTTCTCCCCTTGCCCCCCTAAGGCCTTTGCCCCCAGATCTTCTCCCTTTCCTCCCTAAGATCTTTCCCCCCCTTTCCCTGCTCAGATCCTTTCCCCCCTTTCCCCCCTAAGGCCTTTCCCCCCCTGAGATCTTCTCCCTTTTCCTCCCTAAGATCTTTTGCCACCTTTCCCTGTTGAGATCCATTCCCCCTTTCCCCCCTAAGGCCCTTTCTCCCTCTGAGTTTTTCCCTTTTCCTCCCTACGATGTTTTCCCCCCTCTCCCTGTTGAGATCCTTTCCCTCCTTTCCCCCCTAAGGCCTTTTTTCCCCCCGCGATCTTCCCCCTTTTCCTTCCTAAGATCTTTTCCCCCCTTTCCTTGTTGAGATCCTTTCCCGCCCTTTCCCCCCTAAGGCGTTTTCCCCCCCAAGATCTTCTCCCTTTTCCTCCCTAAGATCCTTTGCCCCCTTTCCCTGTTGAGATCCTTTCCCCCCTTTCCCCCCTAAGGCCTTTCCCCCCCTGAGATCTTCTCCCTTGTCCTCCCCAAGATCTTTTCCCTTGGTTGAGATCCTTTCCCCCTTTCCCCCCAAGATCTTCTCCCTTTTCCTCCCTAGGATCTTCTCCCACCTTTCCCTGTTGAGCTCCTTTCCCCCTTTTCCCCCTAAGGCCTTTTCAGATCTTCTCCCTTTTCCTCCCGAAGATCCTTTGCCCCCTTTCCCTGTTGAGATCCTTTCCCCCTTTCCCCCCTAAGGCCTTTTCCCTGCCTGGGATCTTTTCCCTTTCCTCACTGAGATCTTTCCCCCCCTTTCCCTGTTGAGATCCTTTCCCTCCTTTCCTTCCTAAGGCCTTTCCCCCCGCTGAGATCTTCTCCCTATTCCTCCTTAAGATCCTTTGCCCCCTTTCCCCGTTGAGATCCTTTCCCTTCTTCCCTTTAAGGCCTTTCCACATCTTCTCCCTTTTCCTTCCTAAGATTGTTTCCCTCCTTTCCCTGTTGAGATCCTTCCCACCCTTTCCCGCCTCAGGCCTTTCCCCCCCCTGAGAGCTTCTCCCTTTTCCTTCCTAAGATCTTTTCCCCCCTTTCCCTGTTGGGCTTTCCCCCCTAAGTCCTTTTCTCCCAGATCGTCTCCCTTTCCTCCCTAAGATCTTCCCCCCCTTTCCTCCTTAAGATCTTTCGCACCCTTTTCTCTGTTGAGATCCTTTCCCCCCTTTCCCTCCCAAGGCCTTTCCCCCCCCTGAGAGCATCTCCCTTTTCCTTCCTAAGATCTTTTCCCCCCTTTCCCTGTTGGGCTCTCCCCCCTAAGTCCTTTTCTCCCAGATCTTCTCCCTTTCCTCCCTAAGGTCTTCCCCCCCCTTTCCTTCCCAAGATTGTTTCCCCCCTTTCCCTGTTGAATCCTTCCCACCCTTTCCCCCCTGAGGCCTTTCCCCCCATGAGAGCTTCTCCCTTTTCCTTCCTTAGATCTTTCCCCCCTTTCCCTGTTGGCCTTTTTCCCCCAGATCTTCTCCCTTTCCTGCCTAAGATCTTTTCCACCCCTTTCCCTGTTGAGATCATTTCTCCCCTTGCCCCCCTAAGGCCTTTGCCCCCAGATCTTCTCCCTTTCCTCCCTAAGATCTTTCCCCCCCTTTCCCTGCTCAGATCCTTTCCCCCCTTTCCCCCCTAGGCCTTTCCCCCCCTGAGATCTTCCCTAAGATCTTTTGCCACCTTTCCCTGTTGAGATCCATTCCCCCTTTCCCCCCTAAGGCCCTTTCTCCCTCTGAGTTTTTCCCTTTTCCTCCCTACGATGTTTTCCCCCCTCTCCCTGTTGAGATCCTTTCCCTCCTTTCCCCCCTAAGGCCTTTTTTCCCCCGCGATCTTCCCCCTTTTCCTTCCTAAGATCTTTTCCCCCCTTTCCTTGTTGAGATCCTTTCCCGCCCTTTCCCCCCTAAGGCGTTTTCCCCCCCAAGATCTTCTCCCTTTTCCTCCCTAAGATCCTTTGCCCCCTTTCCCTGTTGAGATCCTTTCCCCCCTTTCCCCCCTAAGGCCTTTCCCCCCCTGAGATCTTCTCCCTTGTCCTCCCCAAGATCTTTTCCCTTGGTTGAGATCCTTTCCCCCTTTCCCCCCAAGATCTTCTCCCTTTTCCTCCCTAGGATCTTCTCCCACCTTTCCCTGTTGAGCTCCTTTCCCCCTTTTCCCCCTAAGGCCTTTTCAGATCTTCTCCCTTTTCCTCCCTAAGATCCTTTGCCCCCTTTCCCTGTTGAGATCCTTTCCCCCTTTCCCCCCTAAGGCCTTTTCCCTGCCTGGGATCTTTTCCCTTTCCTCACTGAGATCTTTCCCCCCCTTTCCCTGTTGAGATCCTTTCCCTCCTTTCCTTCCTAAGGCCTTTCCCCCCGCTGAGATCTTCTCCCTATTCCTCCTTAAGATCCTTTGCCCCCTTTCCCCGTTGAGATCCTTTCCCCCCTTCCCTTTAAGGCCTTTCCAGATCTTCTCCCTTTTCCTTCCTAAGATTGTTTCCCCCCTTTCCCTGTTGAGATCCTTCCCACCCTTTCCCGCCTCAGGCCTTTCCCCCCCTGAGAGCTTCTCCCTTTTCCTTCCTTAGATCTTTCCCCCCTTTCCCTGTTGGCCTTTTTTCCACCAGATCTTCTCCCTTTCCTCCCTAAGATCTTTTCCACCCCTTTCCCTGTTGAGATCATTTCTCCCCTTTCCCCCTTAAGGCCTTTGTCCCCAGATCTTCTCCCTTTCCTCCCTAGATCTTTCCCACCCTCCCCTTTCCCTGCTGAGATCCCTTGAGGGCTTCTCCCTTTTCCTTCCTAAGATCTTTTCCACCCTTTCCCTGTTGGGCTTTCCCCCCTAAGTCCTTTTCTCCCAGATCTTCTCCATTTCCTCCCTAAGATCTTCCCCCCCCTTTCCTCCCTAAGATCTTTCCCACCCTTTCCCTGTTGAGATCCTTTCCCCCCTTTCCCTCCCAAGGCCTTTCCCCCCTGAGAGCTTCTCCCTTTTCCTTCCTAAGATCTTTTCCCCCCTTTCCCTGTTGGGCTTTTTTCCCCCCAGATCTTCTCCCTTTCCTCCCTAAGATCTTTTCCACCCCTTTCCCTGTTGAGATCATTTCTCCCCTTTCCCCCCTAAGGCCTTTTTGCCCCAGATCTTCTGCCTTTCCTCCCTAAGATCTTCCCCCCTCCCCCCCCAGTTCCCTGTTGAGATCATTTATTTCCCCCCTTTCTTCAAAGGCCTTTTCCCACCCTCAGTTCTTCTCATTTTTCCTCCCAAAGATCTTTCCCCCCCTTTCCTCCCTAAGTCCTTTTCCCTGAGTTCGTCTCCCTTTGCTTCCCTAAGATCTTTTCCCCCCTTTCCCGCTTAAGATCCTTTCCCCCGTTTCCCCTCTAAGGCCTTTTCCCCCCAAGATCTCCACCCTTCTCTTCCCAAAGTCTTTTTCCCCCTTTCCCGTTTGAGATCCTGTCCCCCCATTGCCCCTTAGCGAGAAAGATTTCCCTTTTCCTCCCAAAGATCTTTTCCCCCCTTTCCCCCTTAAGGCTTTTTTTCCCCAGATCTTCTCCCTTTCCTCCCTGAGATCTTTCCCCCCCTTTCGCTGTTGAGATCCTTTCCCCCTTTCCCCCCTTCATTTCCTTCACCAGCATGGGCAACATCCCCAGCATCACTTGCATCATCTGCATCCTTGGCAGGCGCTGATGCGGATGATGCAGGTGATGCTGGCGATGTGCCGCTGGAGCTGCTAAGGATGCGAAAGCGCACCCGGGGGGAATCGAACACCCCAATGTTTTTGACAAACTTGGTTAGGGGAGGGGTAACAGGTAAAGAGGTAAGGAGCATTTTTTACGTCCAACACGCCGTCTGTTGTCGGCGGATTTCTCGTCTGGCGGGTGCCACAAGGATGGAGGTAAGCCGACCTCCGCGGTGGAAAATAGAGGACTTGAATGGACCAGGACCATTCGCTGCGTAAATATGTCCCACTTCGAACGAGAAGGAAACAACTGCAGATTTTCAAGTGAGGACATCTCATTTTTGAAAGAGATGGCTCACTGCGTATTTCTGCTTCCCAGTTTCTGAACCAAGCTGTTGAAGCGACGCTCAGTGAGATCCGTTCGCATGCTCAACCAAGAGCAACACCTGGGCAACTGGAAGTGTGCCTTCCCATTGCCCAACCAGAGATGGAAGCAGCCGGTCCGAATCTGCTTTGGGGTACCCGTTGTTCCTGAGCGTTTTCGGTGTGCCTTCATTCGAGGGGATCCTTTGATATGGAATGGATGTGTTTTTGTTGGGAGGGCCTCGTTTGAGTTTTTTAGAGCTCTTTGTTGTTCCTTGGCAGTCATTTGTCACAAGCTTCTCAGAGTCTGGGCCTGTTTGCAGGAAGTTTTGACTTCGTGTTGGTTTTTTACGCGCTGAGCAGGCCAAGTTGCCGAGTCTAGTGCTGCTAGCCGACCTTGCCCCTTCGCATTGGCAGTTTACTGCCTAAGAGACTCTTGGGCATCATTTGTCATGTCTGTTTATTTTAAGGCTCGGTGCAGCTCGCCAAAAAAAATTCCATTAAGGTTTCAGCCATTTGCGTAAGCTGAAAAGCCGTTCCGGGAGCCCGGGAGACGAAAATGCCCAAGTGCCACCTGCGGCTTCAGGACTTTCTGGACGATGTTCTTGGCGTCTTGGAGAGTGGAGGCCGGCATCTAGTCCTCGAAGGGCGTCCTGGGGGATGGCTGTCCCTGGAGTCAAGTTGATGAGACCTGCGCCGATATTTGGCGCCTTCTTCGGGCTTCCTTACTGCTTCCTAGGCCACGGTGCCGCCCAAGAGGAAAATAATTGGTCTGAGGGAGCCGGGCCAGCTTTCATGTCAGCCCGTGGGAGGCTAAGGGCGCAATAGGCGAGAACCAAATCCCCCTCGTCCCAGTTGACCTGCTTTCCCTGAAGGTCCTTGATTTATCAGAAAACCGTTGGGCAGGGATGCCATGGTCGAAGCGCCGCTTTTTCTCCAAGCTGAGAAAGCCATGGGGACTCTCACTGTTCTTTTCACCCCCAAGTGCGTGTGGTCTTTGTTGATGGTGCCCCTTTTTCGTGGTTGTGAAGGGAACGAAGGAAAAACGCTAATCTGGTAAGTCCGCTGAAAGAAGGCAGGGCACACCGCAATGTGGATGATATCAGTTGTGCGGAGTTTTGGCTCCATTTTGTTTTTTCATGTGCGCCGAGGCTACTCGCCTGGCGACAAAGGAGTTGCCCTTGCCCCAGGCTTGAGAGACCAAGGAGCGCCGACCTTGGTTGATCTTTGGCACATGGGGGTTGCTCAAAAGATGATTGGGTGGGGAACCACAAGAAAGATGAGATGCTCTCCGCATGGGAGAAGTGACCGGGCCAGGAATATTGATCAACTATGACATGTAATGGTTGAATTCTTGTGCATGTTTGATGTCCACAGGGTCCAACCACTTAGTGTTCATATCCTCAGTCGACGCGGGCTGAAAGAGAGCAAGCAAAAACCGTGCCCAGGTATAGATTTATGGGCGACTTCGCCGCTTCCCGCGAAGTGGGACCGGTGGCCAAGTCGCTGGCAAGCCCGGTCAGCGTCCGGGTTAGCCGCCCCGATCGGAGTGGCAGAATCCAGAATCCAGCGCCGAACGGCGATGTGAGGCAGTCTTATGTGTTAAGCTTGCGCGCGCAAGCGGATGTCGTGGCTTTGAAAGGCGGCGATTTTGCGTGGTTTGTGAGGGTGGCAAGGATGGTCATGCCTGAAAGCAGGGAAATTCCTATGGTGAGTCGTTTCCCTTGGTTTTTCGCAACTCCGAAAGGAGCTACATAAACTTCTGCGCATGGTGTGCTGGTGATTCTCTTGCCGCAGCTCTCAGCATAATGGCAAGCTCACAGAATAGGGACAGATCGAGATATTTATTTCAGAGGTTCATCTGATTGCAGCCCCAGCGATTGTACTTCATCGCTGATGATAGATACGCAGACTTTTTTGATTGGCAATCATTCATGTTTTGGTGCAAGAGCTCAACTAATCCGCAAGGCAAAATGTTGGTTTTTCAGATGTCGCAGGAACACCAACCTCAACATGGGAAGGGCTGGCGCAACAAAAAAACATATTTTCCAGCTGCAGTGAGCAAGCGGCCAGACCGATTTGGAACATGGCGGCCGGCCATGCAGGCTTGCACCAAGCTCCTCCTGATGGCACCGGTTTCCTGTTCGCCGACCTTTGTAACCCCTCTACATGGTTGTTGTTGGGAAACATTTTTCATTTTTGCTTATTGTGGTTTAGTGGGAAATCCCCACTTAACTGCTAAAATGATAGTGCCCGCAGATGTGGCGCTGGACTTTTTCAGGTCTGTCCCGCACCCACCCCCCCCCCCCTCACCCTCTTGAAGGGGGGGGGGGTCCACCACCACCCCCCCCCCCCCTTACGCAGCAACCCCCCCCTCACCTTAAAGAAGGGGGGCGGGGTCCACCACCACCCCCCGCCCCCCCCGCACAGCAAGCCCCCCTAGTGCCGTCAACCAGATGCCGGGGGAGGTCCACCACCACCCCCCCCCCCCCCCTGCACAGCAAGGGGTGGGGTTGGCACCACCCCCCCCCCCCACGCAACTTTGTACCACCACCCCCCCCCCCCCACCTTGAGCAGCTGTGCAGCTAAATCTTTGTGCCACATGTGAGCAGGGTTGCAACTAAATCTTGCTACAAAAAATCTTCAAAAGTGGCGGGCAGCCCCCCTATGATGTTTCAAAGGTGAAGGTGTGATGATTCAAAGAGGGCGGGCGGATGTTCGAAGTGATGATTCGAGTAGAGGCGCAGTTAAAGCTTGTTGCAAAATGTACTAAGTAGCGGTGGGGTTGGGGGGGGCGGCAGCCCCCCCCATGATGCTCGAAGAAGTGATGATTCAAATAGGTGTGCCAGTGCCGAGATTCTTTTTTTTCAAGGGTGAAGGTGTGATGATTCAAAGAGGGCGGGCGGATGTTCGAAGTGATGATTCGAGTAGAGGCGCAGTTAAAGCTTGTTGCAAAATGTACTAAGTAGCGGTGGGGTTGGGGGGGGCGGCAGCCCCCCCCATGATGCTCGAAGAAGAGCTTGTTGCCAAATGTCCTAAGTAGCGGGGGGGTTGGGGGGGCCGCTCCCCCCATGATGCTCGAAGAAGTGATGATTCAAATAGGCGTGCAATGCGAATTCTTTTTTTTCAAGGGTGAAGGAGTGATGATTCAAAGAGGGAGGTGAAGTGCAGACGTTCGAAGTGGGATTGATTCGTGTAGAGGCCGGTTTTAAAGCCTGTTGCCAAATGCTACTCAGTAGCGGTGGGGGTTGGGGGGGGCGGCAGCCCCCCCCCACTCGATGCCTCGAAGAAGAGCTTGTTGCCAAATGTACTAAGTGGCGGGGGGGTTGGGGGGGGCGGCAGCCCCCCCCATGATGCTCGAAGAAGTGATGATTCAAATAGGCGTGCAGTGCGAATTCTTTTTTTTCAAGGGTGAAGGAGTGATGATTCAAAGAGGGCGGGCGGACGTTCGAAGTGATGATTCGAGTAGAGGCGCAGTTAAAGCTTGTTGCCAAATGTACTCAGTAGCGGGGGGGTTGGGGGGGGCGGCAGCCCCCTCCCATGATGCTCGAAGAAGAGCTTGTTGCCAAATGTACTAAGTGGCGGGGGGGTTGGGGGGGGCGGCAGCCCCCCCCATGATGCTCGAAGAAGTGATGATTCAAATAGGCGTGCAGTGCGAATTCTTTTTTTTCAAGGGTGAAGGAGTGATGATTCAAAGAGGGCGGGCGGACGTTCGAAGTGATGATTCGAGTAGAGGCGCAGTTAAAGCTTGTTGCCAAATGTACTCAGTAGCGGGGGGGTTGGGGGGGGCGGCAGCCCCCCCCATGATGCTCGAAGAAGTGATGATTCAAATAGGCGTGCAATGCGAATTCTTTTTTTTAAGGGTTGAAGGGGAGTTATGATTCAAAGATTGCGGGGGGAGAATGTTCGGAGATGAGATATGCTTCGAGAGCAGGGGCCGCAGCAAATATTGTTGCCAATGTACCAAGTAGGGGCTGGGGGGTTATTTTTTGGGGGGGGCGGCGGGCCAGGGCTAGCCCCCCCCGATGACATTGATGCTGAAGAAGAGCTTGTTGCCAAATGTACTAAGTGGCGTTGGGGGGTGGGTGTTGGGTGGGGGCTGGCAGCCCCCCCATGATGCTCGAAGAAGTGATGATTCAAATTTTTTAGGGCGGTTGCCCAGTATCCGAAATCTTTTTTTTCAAGGGTGCAGGAGTGATGATTTCAAAAGAGATGCAGCGCCCGCGGATGGGCCGCAGGCGGAAGTGGAGCTGTTGCCCCCAAATGTACTCAGTAGCGGGTGGGGTTTGGGGGTTAACGTTGTGGGGGGAGGCAGCCCCCCATGATGCTCCAAGAAGAGCTTGTTGCCAAATGTACTAAGTGGCGGGGGGGTTGGGGGGGGCGGCAGCCCCCCCCATGATGCTCGAAGAAGGGATGATTCAATTAGGCGTGCAACGCAACCTAGGTGGAATATCAAGGAGTGATGATTCAAAGAGGGCGGGCGGATGTTCGAAGTGATGATTCGAGTAGGGGCGCATCTAAGTCTTGGTGCCAAATGTACCAAGTAGCGGGGAGCTGCGGTCAATCCCTGCAACAAATCTAAAAAAGCAGCCGGGGGGGATTCAAAAGAGGGCATGATTCAAAGAGGGCGGCGGATGTTCGAAGTGGCTGATTTTCGAAGTAGAGGCGCAGTTAGTTTTTAAAGCTTGTTGCCCCAAATGATACTCTTGTAGCTTGGGGGGGTGGGGGGGGGCTGGGGCGGCACGGCAGACAGCCCCCCCCCATGATGCCTCGAATGACGAGCTTGGAGAAGAGCTTGTTGCCAAATGTACTAAGTGGCGGGGCGGTTGGGGGGGGCGGCAGCCCCCCCATGATGCTCGAAGAAGTGATGATTCAAATAGGCGTGCAATGCAAATTCTTTTTTTCAAGGGTGAAGGAGTGATGATTCAAAGAGGGCGGGCGGATGTTCGAAGTGATGATTCGAGTGGAGGCGCAGTTAAAGCTTGTTGCCAAATGTACTCAGTAGCGGGGGGGTTGGGGGGGGCGGCAGACCCCCCCATGATGCTCGAAGAAGAGCTTGTTGCCAAATGTACTAAGTGGCGGGGGGGTTGGGGGGGGCGGCAGCCCCCCCCGTGGTGTTCGAAGAAGCGATGATTCAATTAGGCGCGCAATGCAAATTCTTTTTTTTCAAGGGTGAAGGTGTGATGATTCAAAGAGGGCGGGCGGATGTTCGAAGTGATGATTCGAGTAGAGGCGCAGTTAAAGCTTGTTGCCAAATGTACTCAGTAGCGGGGGGGTTGGGGGGGGCGGCAGCCCCCCCCATGATGCTCGAAGAAGAGCTTGTTGCCAAATGTACTAAGTGGCGGGGCGGTTGGGGGGGGCGGCAGCCCCCCCATGATGCTCGAAGAAGTGATGATTCAAATAGGCGTGCAATGCAAATTCTTTTTTTCAAGGGTGAAGGAGTGATGATTCAAAGATTGCGGGCGGATGTTCGGAGAAATGCTTCGAGCAGGGGCGCAGCAAAATATTGTTGCCAAATGTACCAAGTAGCGGGGGGTTGGGGGGGCGGCAGCCCCCCCCCTGATGCTCGAAGAAGTGATGATTCAAATAGGCGTGCAATGCAACCTAACCTAGGTGAAACATCAAGCCGGGGGGATTCAAAGAGGGCGGGCGGATGTTCGAAGTGATGCTTGTTGCCAAATGTACTCAGTAGCGGGGGGGTTGGGGGGGGCGGCAGCCCCCCCCATGATGCTCGAAGAAGAGCTTGTTGCCAAATGTACTAAGTGGCGGGGGGGTCGGGGGGGGCGGCAGCCCCCCCCATGATGCTCGAAGAAGCGATGATTCAATTAGGCGCGCAATGCAAATTCTTTTTTTTCAAGGGTGAAGGTGTGATGATTCAAAGAGGGCGGGCGGATGTTCGAAGTGATGATTCGAGAGAGGCGCAGTTAAAGCTTGTTGCCAAATGTACGAAGTAGCGGGGGGGTGGGGGGGGCGGCAGCCCCCCCATGATGCTCGAAGAAGCGATGATTCAATTAGGCGCGCAATGCAAATTCTGTTTTCAAGGGTGAAGGAGTGATGATTCAAAGAGGGCGGGCGGATGTTCGAAGTGATGATTCGAGTAGAGGCACAGTTAAAGCTTGTTGCCAAATGTACTCAGTAGCGGGGGGGTTGGGGGGGGGCGGCAGCCCCCCCCATGATGCTCGAAGAAGAGCTTGTTGCCAAATGTACTAAGTAGCTAGCAGCAGTCGTTTCGGGTGGTCCACAGTCTTCTTCTCAGGCAAGCCCGAAAAGTGGTGACGGAAATGGAAATGGAGGGGGTGGTGGTGGTGGTTGCGTGGGTAGTGGTTGTGGGGGGGGGGGGTGGTGGTGGTGGTGGTGATCATACTTGGGCGGGGGGGGGGGGTGTGGTTCTAGCGAGGGAAAAGATGGTGGGGGGGGGGGGGGGGGGTGGTGGTTCTAGCAAAGGAAAGGATGTGGTTGGGGGGGGGGTGGTGGTTCTAGTGAAGGAAAAGATGTGCAGGGGGTGGTTGGTGGCGGCGAAGGGGTTGGGGTTAGACATTGAGGTGAGTCAAAAGGTAAGAAGGGGGGGGGGGGTGGTGGTGGTGACTGGAAGCAACGCAGCGAGAGGGGGGGGGGGGGGGTGGTGGTGCTGACGCCTGACCTTCGTGGTGATCACGCCTGAAAAACAGGAACTCTCGCTAAAATTCAAATTTTTGCTCCCCTTCCAACGTCAACCAAGTCTATTCCCCAAGGGTGGCAAGGGGTATACTTTGGATGGACAACCTTCGGCAGCTGGGACGGATGAAGCCCTATCCATTCTGGTCAAACCACCAATCCCAAGTGGTGCGAAATGGACTTTCCAGCCAAAGCAATTGAGCTTCTGTCATAACTGCCAGTAGTCTATGGTTTATTTTGGAAGCAGGATATGGAGCGACTCGACCCTTTGGGTTACACGGAAACCAGCAGAAAACCGAATTCATCTTGGGGTTTCCTTTTCGAACACCCACGTGGGTCTGTCTGGATGGTTTGAAGGGGAAACCAACAGAGAACCCGGCCAGTTGGGGGGTCCCAGAATTTAACACACATCACACCCATGTCTCTTTCAACATCAATCCCAAACACGGGCGAAAATTGGCAGGCATAGATCCGGGCCTGGTGAATCTGGAGGTGGACGAGGCTGAAAAGGCGCTGGCGATGGCGCTTTTTCATCGCTTGCAACATTTGGCTGTGGCTCAAAAAGCCGGTACCAAAATGGGTTGCCCTGGTAAGTGGAAACATGGACCACAACCTGCGTATCCCCTCCTGTTCAATTTTGAGCCACACCCATTTACCCTCCCTGCCACGAACATGACACCTGACAGGGGTCCCTTTGAGGGGAAACTGATCTTCCAGGTGCCCTCCCACAGATGTTTGTGGCAGCCAGGGTGCTGTCTGCACGGGGGCTGCTCAACTAATTGCCATGAGGGTGAATATTGACCGTGGCTCATATGTGGTGTGTGTCCAATTGAGCGACCCGCGGGTTGGGAAGTTTTGCTTCGTGCAAACATTTGCCTTGGCCGATTTTTGGTGCCCTTGTCGGGGTTATTTAGGAATGCCTTGTGTCTGCCTTGGGCGCCGAGCTCCTGAAGCCAGCATGGCGAATCAATCTCTCGCCAGGCGACAGCCTCCGGTCTGTCTCCAGTGAAGTTTGGCAAGGAAGGCCCGGGATGTTTCGACGGAAGGACGGCGAAAAAGGAACACGTTCGGGAGAGAATGTACAGGCGTCTTGTCAGGAAATTCTCCCCCCAACTAACCGAAGGCACTTGTGGGAGGGTATGGAAGATCAATAACAAGAGGGTACCCTTTTGGGATTTTGAAGGACCGCCTAGAGGAAACCATGATTCAACCGTTCCTCTAGACAAACCCATGGATAGCCATATTTCAGGAGTTTCGACCTTTTCACGACCCAGGATTACTCAACCCCGGGTCGATCAATACGGGTGTCCCCTTTCGGCAGGGATTCAGACCACTTTTGGAGGGGCCCCAACGTCGTCGCAGGTGACACGTGGAACCAGGAGCACTCACTGGGCTCGGTTTCTGAGTGGGGTGCTGAGCTCCCATGGACCTCTGATTTCGGCCCAAAAGGCTGGGTCTCAGAGCCAGCGAAGACTCAAATGGGTGGGGCTCAAACTTGGAGAGCCAGGGCAACCCGCAGGTTTGAGGTTGTTCCATTTACCTTTTGGTGCCATTTTTGGTTCCAGTTTTTGGAGCAGCCAAATGGGGGGTTTTGTTTTGAATTCCAACTTAACCCCACCCCTTTTGAGGGTGGCAACTCAGAAAAATCGACGGACCTCAATGCCGAAAATGGGTCGAGAGCTCGGGCACCTTGAGCCGAAGCGAGGCCGGAAGATGCACAGTTGGTCCTCTCTGCCAGGAGCCGACCAAATCGTTTGTCCTTTCTTTCTTTTTAAAGCCCCAGACCGATTTGTTGGTTGACCTCCGTGTCACCTTTGGTTTATGCGCCCCAAGCCAAGGTTGGGGGTTGGAAGTATGAGGTGTCTGGGGCACTCAATTCCCCTTTGGTTCATTCCGAACTATTTTGTGTTGCTCTAGTTGTTTGATTAGCTCAAGGATTTTTTCACCCAGAATCTCAGAAGCTCAGAAGCGTCCTCTATTTTCGGGTTCCGCAAAGTGGGACCCGGTTGAGGCACGACTCTCTTTTCAATTCGACTGACCGAGCTTCACATTGCAGGAAGGTCTCCATGATCTCCATCCTCGTATCTTTTGCCCCAGGGCTCAGTGCTTTTGGTCTCCGAGGTTATGTGCGATTTTTCGGCTTTATCGGATCGATGGACCGGCTTTTTGCGGAGTAAAAGGCGAAAGGTCCAAACACAGGAGGCATGCTCGCTAAATCCAAAAGAAAGATACGCCCAGCCAGAGCCCCTTTGGGTCGGAGAATTGGGCCAAGGACTGAAGGGTTTCTTTGAGGCAGCCAATGGCCTAGGGGGTGATTCCCTATTCTTTCCAACCATCGTTCTTTCCAAAAACCGGATCCGTTTTCTCTGGGTTTCTGGATTCGGATCCCGGGAAAGCATGGGGACATGTCCCATTTAGAAGCATACCCTATTGGTTTCAAAGGGAAGCCAGACTGGCAAAAATGGACCCAAGTTGCTTAAGCAAATGGAGGGATATGGTTTTTGGTGTTCGGCGTCTACACAACAAGGGCTTTGGTTTTCGGGTGAGGTGCTGGCGCTGCTGGGCTTCGGCATCGGGCTCTCCGAAAATGTCGGACGCCCAACTTTGGGACGAGTTTCACGCGTCCATCGGGTGGGGGAAAGAAAAAGAAGCAGCGACCTGAAGCTCAGAAAGAGGCAAGCTGGGAACTAGCCGGTGATATGGCCATGGTTCAAAACCAATGGGATCCGATTTTGGGGTCTTTTTTAGTGTGGATTGGGATGTTCACCGGGGGTACGATTTGGGTTTTGACCCATGGCCATATCCACGAAGTGGTGTCCTCGAGGGTTTGATTTTGGGGTATCAAAATCCCCGGTGAAAAGCCGGTTTCGGACTTTCTGGTGCGCGAATCTGAATCCGAACGCGTGAGCAGGTCCTCTCCGTGCTGGGCTTTGGCATGGAGGCCAGGAAAGCACTCAAAACACACAGAAGACCGAACAACCTAAGTCCCGACAAAAGCCTAAACTCTCAAAACTCCTACAGCCCACTCACAAAACTCCCAACAACAGCCCCAAACTCCCAAAACTCCAACCACTAACATCCAAAAGCATGAAAAAACCTCACAACACCATGCAAAACATGCAAAACACACCCAACACCTCCCAAAGATCCAGGCAGGCAGAAATGGCATTATTTTTGCGCTCAACAACCCAAAGCTCTCAAAGCGACCAGCACCCGAATCACACAGAACAACCTCTTGTTGTTTTATGGTTGTACATCTCATAGCGAGGGTTGCTGGTTCCCATCTCTCTACAAAGCATCTCACTAAGAGCTTCTTAGAGAAACCCGAGTTTTTTTCCTGAAAACCGCGGCCCCGGTTGTTCCCCAGCTCAAAGTGCAACCGCAGTCTTAGCGCGGCTTGGTCTGGGGTGATGAAGTTGACTGCTTGGGGTCTCTCAAAAGCCGGGGTTGTTTCCAAAACCTACAGTGGATGGACGAAATCCGTCCGCACCACCTAAGTAATCATGGTTTGGGTATATCCAGGGGAATCATTTCATTCCGTTGGGTTTCTGAACGGTGGTGCGATTTCTGGATTTCGCAATCATCCACATCACTTAGAGGCTGCTATCACTTAGCTGGGTGGTTCCATCCCTGCAGGTTTCTAGGCTTTTGAATTGGTTCGGCGGTTTCCATGTAACCCACTAACAACTTTTCGCAGATCCATTTGGGTTTTTATGGTTTTTGAGCTACTTTGGTGGTTTAAAAGCTAACCCACTCAAAGCTTTTAGCTCCAAAACACGGACAGCCCAGTTGGGCCGACTCCTCCACCCGCGCGTGACGCGCTAGGCCACCCTGGACGGGATCTCCTCCGCGCTGGTGATGTGGCGCTTCAAGACGGGGAAAAAGCGGAACTTCACAGCTCGGACACCCAACTCCCCCAGAAAACCCGGGGCTCCGAAGGTTTTTCTTGGAGGTTTTTTGTTGGAACCAATTTTAATGGATTCCTGTTGCCAAACTCCTCGTAGGGTGTACAGCTGGGCCCAAAGAGCTAAACTAGGTCGCAAAAACTTAGTTGCGCAATATATATACATATATATATATATATACACACATTTGTTTTTATATATTTATTTACATTAATGTCTTTGTTTGTGTCTTTCATCTTTTCTCGGTTTATTGATCTGTATATTTCCTTTTGTGGTTGGATTGGTGTCTTTTTGCGTTTGGATCGGGTGGGGAGACCGGGGCGGGGGGGGGGGGGGGCTGCTGGTCACTGAGGATGCTGAGGCTGCGGCTCTGGCGAAGGAGGCCAGAGATGCAAGGACTGCGGAGTCGGACGTTTCTTCAACACTAAGAGACGCCTCCACATTTATATATAGTCTTGTCTGAACACATGATAATATACATATATACACATGTTTTATATGTATATATATATATATATATATATATCTCTCTCTCTCTCTGTATATGAATATTCGTTATACGTGTTTATGGCATATATATATATATATGTAGAGATTATATATAATTTACACCACTGTATATATATATATATATACATATGTTCACATACTTGGACATCTACATATTTTATGCGTTATGCATGTATAGGTAATGCATGGATATGTGTATGGCTTGCAGTGAAGATCGAAACACACTAGGTCATGCCTGCTTTGGCCTAGTTTGTGATTCGTTGCATGTGTTGCAGGAACTTTGGACGTCAAGGCTTCGATAAAGATGACCAACCGTAAGGGCAAATGGCTACCCCAAACCACACTTCTGAAGCCAAGCAAGGGTTTGGAGTTTCGTTGTGTTTGCATCAACTTGAAAAATAAAGAAAGGCAAGCTAAAAACATCACCTAATGTTGACCCTGATTTCTAAACCCCCAGTTATGAATCAAGGGGGTGTCTCTGGAAAGAAAGGCTCCTCCCCCTACTTTTGAAGTGGGGGGATTACTCAGGGTTGAGCAAAAGTCAACCGATGTAAATCTCTACACACCACACTCCTGAAGCCAAGCCAGGGTTTGGAGATATCCTGCCAGGTGTTCTGGTGTTTTCATCGATCTGGCGCTGTTTAAAGCACAAGCGACTCAGACTCAACCGAGCCGCAACCGCCACCAACCCCCTGAACGAACGAAGAACCGAAGAAACGAAGAACCGAAGAATCCGGGTCAGCAAGCGTTTACACCACGACTCAACCGCCGCAACCCCCGAGCCGAAGAACCGCAGCGAGTTGTTTAGGAGAGAGCGCAATAGCTCTGTGGGTATTGGCGCCACCTTCGTGGCCTCGTCCTGCATGCTCTCCTTCTCCGCCGCTGGGCGCCCGAAGTGCTCTCGTTCTCTCACCCCAAGCAAGGGCCTAGCGTATGTGAAGTCCTAAGAATGGGGGAAGCCAAAAAAAAAGGAGGCGTCCTGTTGATTTGTTTTCCCCTTCCACCCCCAAAAATGGGTTTGGTCTCAAGGGGGAAGCCTCCAAGAACCCGCCCCCCTGGGTTTTTCCCTTCAAAACCAGTCCAAAAGGGGAGTTAAATGGGAGTTGGGTGATCAACGAGGGTTGCGTCCTGCATGGTGAGCTTGGAAAGGAACCGGAACCGAGAGCCAGCCGAGCCAAACATGCAGTCTATGTAGCGCGCTATGACTGTGCGCTAATGTAATGTACAGTAATTGTGTCACATGAAGATATCAAGAATCATTTTTTGGGTGGGTAGCAAAAAGAAGCACCAAAAGGGAGCTCCGCTGTGGACGCCCAAGCCTTCCCGTTTTGGCCTTCGCCATGTCGCCCGTGGAACACTTGGTCCCGGGTGCGGCGGCTGCGAAGTCTTCGGCGTGTGCAGAAGCGGCGGGGGCCGGCCAGCTTTTGGCGGGGTTGCCCAGAGCGAGCGATCCGGGAGATTCTAAGGTTTGTACTTGGGAGCGGCTGAACTGGGGTAGTACATACCTGCACTATTGTTGGATCAAGTTTTTAGGTTTGTAGGCTTTTTGGTTCTGTTCTTTCTTTCTTTTCTGCGAAACCATACGAAGGGTTGCAAAGTTCCGTTCTCAACGTCTCCCGCATGTGTCTTTTTTTTGACCCCCAAAATGGGCTGGGTTTTGCGGTGGTTTTCCCTTAGCCAACAAGCCCCCCCCCCCCCCCAAAAAAAAAAAGACAAAGAAGACCAAAAAGGCCTCCCCAGTTGACCAATTGGGCGACGCAACTTTTACGTTTTTTTTTCCACGAGGTCCTTCTCAGTCGAAGGCGACACTCCAGGTTTGCACGCCCCTTCATTGGGGTTTGAACTCATGGGACACGGAGCTTACGTGGGTCCCGCCCAAAACGTCACATCCACTTGGCCGTGGCTCAAAAAATGGAGACCGACATTTGGCACCTTGGTAAATGCCACAGATTAAGAACCTGCGCAACCCTGGCTCTTTAATTTTGAGCCACACCCATGTGCCTGTGGAGGTCATCCTCGACTTCGACCGAACTCTGACCAGAGCCTTGGCCGCGTTTCAAGATGAGGTGCCGCAAAAGTGACATGCATCACTCAATCGCGTCTTTCCGAACCTTGCATGGATCTGTGCAAGCAGCACACGGCACATATGATGGTCAGCTAATTTTGCGGTCAATGCAACATGAGACCGGCACCTCCTGAAGAGGTGCATGCACATGTCCGTACGATGCTGCTTTTGACTCATAGGGCTAACTTCTCATTTGCCCAAGGCCAACCTTTTTGGACTTTTTGTTTCCCACTTTTGGTGAAATTTTGGGCTCCAAAACGGGTTGGCCTTTTCCACACCCAAACTAGGGAGCCGCGGTTCTCGGGACCGTGTTCCAAGAAACCCGGCATGTTTAGGGGCCCAGCTCCAATTTTTCGAGACACCCAACGAAGCAAGTGAGCTCAGGCACATCGCTTTTGCCGATTCCGATGTCGATGGACGCTCGAGATTCACTGCGCATAAATCCATCTTTTTCCCTGGACCGGACACCACCGGAAGGGTACGAGGAGCGCGCAGCGCCTAGAGCAACGCGGCCAGGCAACTTCATGCCAGACGGAGCGCGGGTCACCTCGGCGCACGGGATCTTGGAAGCCGCCAGCGTTTTGTCCGAGACCTTCCAAGCCAAAGCCAAGGAACTCTTCAGCTGCTCGGCAGGGAAACTGGTTGGTGTGCCGTTTTTGGAGCGGTTTGAAGGGACACCCAGAAGGAAACCACCATTTTGGGGGGTCTCCCAACAAAAAGACACACCCACTTGTGTGGAGAGAAAAGCAGTTCTGATGTGGACACCTCCCCACGGACTGAGCCTCTTTGTGGAAAACTGGGGGCTTTCGGTTGCCACCTCAGCTTCATAGCTTCATGGCTTCCTTCCCCAACCCTCTCTGCCACAGCGGGCTCAATGAAGGGGCACGAGCGCGTTAATAGCCCAGGCACTGGCGAGTCCTTGCGCGCTTACCGGCGAGTTCTGTAACAAGGACATCCCCTTCCAAGAAAGTCAATCTGAGCTGCGCCGAAAACCCCCCGATGGCCCTTTTCGGTGGTTCTACTAGCTGGCTTCCGTAAGGACTACATAGTAATCCCTAGACAAACCTGCATAACAATGGGCTTTGGTCGCACCCCTGTTCGCTAAAGAGCGGTTCGGTTTCGCACCAGAGGGGATTGGCTTGCCAGCTGGATGCGCCGTTTTTTCGCGGTCGGCACAGCCGAACATTTGGTGGCAAACAAAACGGGACCCATTTTAGTCCCAGATTGTGAGACAAAAAAAACGGGAAACCAGCCAAAAGGTTTGGAGCTCTGCGCGTTGGATTCTAGACTTCTTTCAGCCGCGTTTGGGGAATGGGGTGCTTCGGATTTCAGTCTCAAGAGGCAAGATGCATTTGTTGACACATGCAATTGTTGGCATGACACACATGAGAGATTTGTTGTAAAGAGAGACCAGGATACTGGGCCGTACTACCCCTAAAGCGGATTGTTTCGAAGAAATCCCAGATAAGTCCGCCTCTTTCTCGTTTTTGTGTGGATGTGATGCCATGCTCGGGTTTCTTCTTTTGACCCCAAGTTGCGAGGCAAGTACTACCCCATCGAGATTGACGCTGTCATGCCGGCAGCTGAGACTTTGAGACCGAGCCAGCGAGCAAGAGCGGGCTCGAAAGGCTCGCCTTTCCGTGCAACCCGTTTGGCTGGTGGGTGAAAATCAATGGGATCCCATTGTGGGGTGGGTGCACCACCCATTTTTAGAACCTATTTCAGTGGGGAGTGGGATGTTCACTGGGGGTATTTGGCTTTTGACCCATGGCCCATTTCGGTGTGCGATCTTGACTCTTTTTTTCTTTTTTCTTTTTTTTTGGGGGGGGGGGCACAAAATGGTTGTTGTTTCCCTTTGGTGCTCCTTGGATGTTTTTGCGAGTTCACTTTTGACGTTCCTGTTGGCTGCCGTTCCCGCGCGCGCTCGGCAATGGCCGAGGCCCATTGAAGAGAAGGCCGCTCGATGAGGTTTGGTCACTCCAGACCACGAGTCTATGATACTGATTTGGGAGGAAATCGGCATGCGCATTTGTCCACCCTTTCTTATTCTTGCCGAAGCGGGATTCATAGATTCATTGGGGGCGTCATTTTTTTGTGGGTACCCCCTTGTTGTGGTTTTAAAGGGAAACCAAAAGAAGCCCACACTATTTGGGGTCCCCTAAAAAAGACACACCGCATTCTTGGACTTCGGTGCCAGATTCCAATCATGAGCGAGTGGTACGGGCAAGTGCACGAGCTCATGTTGAAGGAGTCCGCTCCTCGTACGCATGGGTTCCAATCTGGCTGTGTCAACACCGTTTTGGGATCCCATTTTGGCGCACTCGCGCTCAGATCTTGCGTAAGGTGACCAAAGACAACATCGCGGGGGCCGTGTCTGGCTGCAAGACCATCCGACTGCGCGATGGCATGCTGGACTTGCTCCAGGCCTGCCAGACACATGACCCAGTGATCCCAGTGAGCCTCAGCCAAAATGGCTCCGAGGATTTTGTTTCGATTCCGAGTCGCTCTTTTTGGTTGGCTTGGGGGGGTCCTCGGACAGGGAGTCATGCGAATGAGTTGTCCTATTTTTATTTATTTGAGGTGCTTAGGCTTGCCGTGTGAGTAGCTGAAGATGTGTGAGTGGTTCCATAGGGGAGCCCCTGGTTTCCACGTTGAACCCGAAAAGATCAGCCCGGACAAGGAGGTGCTTCCCATTTGGCTTCCCTATGCATTTAAAAGATAAGCACAAGCAAATCCTTAGACATACAAAAAGTCAGACAAAAGTTTATGCTTCTTGCCTGTTTTGAGGAGACGTTCTCAGCCGCGCATCGAAGTAACAAGAGCATTTTGTGCGGCAGGCGTGGGACGGTCAATTATCCCCCTGTAAATTTATAATAATCAAAGGCTTCCCAGGTCCAAAATTGACCGCGCGCGCCCCGTAGGTCTTTTCCTGAAGGATTCTAGTTGAAATCGCTCGGGCCTTCAAGAAGCGCAACTTTTGTCTGGCCAGTGTATACATATATATATATATATATCTATACATATATATATATATTTATACATAGGTAGATAGATAGATGCTCGCCATGGCAGGCAGCGCTTACGCTCAGGATCATTATGTCAGCTGGCCTGGGTGATGTTATCGAGGAGTTCCTTCGACAAGTGCCCTTTGAACTGGGGGCGAGTACCCACATCGTCTCCAACAGGAGCGCCTTGCACTGGCTTGCGATCGGTGCGAGAGATGCAGGGAACGAGACATCGAATCGCCCCAGAAAAACCTAATCTCAACTGTTGGCTTTCTTTAAGGGAAGCCCCGCATTCCTTCACTCCCTACTGAGCGCCAGCAAGATGGGTTTTGGGTCAAATGTCAACCAGGATCTGGTCAGCTTTTGTCCTTCCATTGTCCAGGGCAACCCATTTCGGGTACCTATTGCTTTGTTTGGACTGTGACTTGCTGGATGGACGCAGCTCTGCATCACTTGTACCGTTTCATTCACGAGGCCTGAATCATTCATTTCGACTGGTTTTTTTGTCCATCCACAGCATGGTTGGACAACCCCAACCCAGCATTGCTATGGAGCCCCCTTCAGACTTTTTGGGAAAGGACATAAACATCCCCATGTTTTTTTCTTCTTCACTTTTTCACTTCGTTAGTCACCATTTTTGATGACAGCTGGGCCTTCTTTTTCAGGTTTGTAGGGTCATTTGGGCCAGGAAAGTCACAAACCTACCGGCTGACTTGGATTCTGACGAACCAGCGTTCTTTTGTGAGACGCCGAGCTCCGTTGGACCCCCTTCCCCTCCCCCCCGAAAACTGTTATTTTCCTTTACCAAAGGGCGGGTGCCCTATTTGGGGGCCGACCTCATTGCACCTTGAGCGAAACTGGCGGCGCATGGGACTGGTTGACTTGGGTCGCCCTTGCATGGCGGCTCTCACGCCCTGGAGAGGAGCATCGATCTTTGGGGTCCGGATCCAGTCGGAAGGGCCAGCAAACCAAGAAATGGCCCCATTTCTTTTTGGATCCTTCGGGTTAGCTAGATGCAGCTCAGTGTCACGCCAATTCAACCGAACCATTAAAAGCACACGCGCCCAACTGGATGCCAGCCGAACCATTAAACACACGCGCCCAACTGGATGTCTTTTTCACATGTTGGGAGGTGGTGTCATTGTGCCCCCAGGTTTCCGAAACCAAAACAGGGGATCTGTTGCCTCCAGGCACCTATTTTCACGTGTTCATTTTCTCTTTCGGCTCCCCGAGCCCGATAAAAATCAGGAACAACGGCCGAAAACAACAACCAACTAAAACAAGAACTAAAACAACAAGCAAAAACACCGAGGACGCCCCACACATCCAGAGGCCGAAAAACAAAACGCGAGAAAGCCGAGCAACGCCGCAACCCAACCGCCAGCGGTTCCACTCCGATCGAGTAGGATGGCCTTCGACGCGGCGGGGCGGCTGGTGGAGTTCTCAGAGCCCCTGCTCCACATGTGCCGTGAATTCATTTTTGGGATCGGTTGAGTTGAACGTGGGGATGGTCCACCTTGGGATCCTTCAAAACGTGCATACACACATATATATATATACACATGTATATATGTATATATATATATATATATATGTATATATATATGTATATATATATATATGTATATATATATATATATATATATTCAGGAAAGCTAGCTGTGCTAGCGGAGTTCTCTAAGGTTTAGCTTCTTTTAGCTGAGCTTCCCACGATGCCTGATGTAATCAGCCTCTCAAGTTGAACCTTGGGATGGTCCACCTTATGGTCCTTTAAAACGCGTATGTGTATATATATATATATATAGGTTCCTGGTTCCTTTGAGTTGAGCGTTGGGACGGTCCACCTGGTAAGGATCCTTTGAAACACGCTTTTGGTTTCCGGGGAGGTTTAGATGAAGGTTTCTCGAGGTCTGGCCCGACAACTTCATCTCGAAAAATCCACAAAAACATGTTTTTTTTGGTTCCTAAGGGGCAGGCCATTAGCTGGTAGGGATCTGCAAGGGGTGGTCCAAGAAGGGGGTTTTGCAAGGGTCTGCAGGGAACCCGAAACGGGCTCTCAACTACCTACGCCCCCTTTGTACCTGCCTCCCCGAATGGGATTCCAGAACAGATGGACCAAGTGGCACCGGGTTCTTCCAACCCAATCTGGTTGTTCAAGCTGGAGATGTGGGCACCATTTCCGGACTGCGGTGATGACTTTCTCTTGGGGGTTCGAAGGGAACCCAAATGGCAAAGCCAGTTTTGGCTGTTGAGGACAAGTCCCTTGAAGGAACCCTCAAGGGCTTTGTGGGTTTTGTGTTGAAGGGGACCTCTCCTGGCCTTGGTTTTCCTCTGGTGTTGCTAGCTGGGCTAGCCGAGAAGGTTGGTCCATGCTTAAAGGTGTACCCGGCGAAAATCGGGAGTTCCATATCTCATTCTGAAACAAACCTATTTCATGGCTGCTCAACAAGGGGGCATTTTCTTTTTGGTTTTTAGACTTTTGCACCAGGAGAATGGCAAAACCCAAGAAATGGTTCCCGTTCTTGTTCGCACAACCCTCATGCGGTCCCTGCCATGGACATGGCTTTGAATTTCAACGCGGACCCCACAAGGGAACTGCGGTTGCAGACGCATGCGCATCAGTGCCACGTCAAAGCACTCTGCGTTCGTTGGGCAAGAGGGGATGGTTATGGATTTGCCCATTTTAGGGCAAGCTCACGTGAGCAGGGCCCAAGTGAAGATTTTGGACAGGCATGCTTCCGCGTAAGAACACATGTGGCTCGCGTAAGCTCGTACAAGCTCGCGTATAGGGTCCGACAGTACTTCGCTTGCTGCGCTTGTAGTGCAAAGTTGCGATTTTCGAGCTGTAGCAGCGGAGGTGTACTTTGAGCGCAGCACTTCTTGCAAAGAAACCGCGACACGCTAGCGATACGCAAGTGGTTTTTGTTGTGTCGAGGACAATGCGCCGCGCAAGCAGAATGTGTAGTTGCGTAAGTCCCGGGAAAACTTTGCGCAGCCACAGAAATCAGCCCCGTGGGCCTCATTTTGCACGATTCTAGTTTTCCGAGGAGTTATGTTTTGGGACCCCCCCAAAACCCCCGTAATGCAAAGGTTGTGGATCATGGATGTCATGATGCGCTTTCAAGAGGCGAGAGGCTACCCCAAAAAATTGAGGCACAACCAATACCTGTATAGGAAACCAACCAAAATGTAGAAAACCGTATGAGCCAGCCAACAAGATGCGGGGCTTTACCCCGCCTCAGGCAAACGGCAGGAGCCAGAAAAAAAGGATTGGGCCCCGAAATACCTAGGTTTCCAATTTCTTATCGGATTAATTGTTGTTTGACGGATTATTCAACAAGAATCTTTCCCCCGGCTGCTCTGGGACACAAAGTCAACGGGTTTCGGGCACCGCTCACTTGGGGATGCAACAAGCTCACTATGATGTAGGTCCTTTTCTTGCAGCTGCCTGGTTGTTCAGATTTTGAGAATTATAACATGCATTTGCAGACGGATTCCTCGAATTTTGGTGGCTCCGTGCAAGGGTTCCTGTTGAGGCAGCTGGCATAGCCAAGAAACTGGGAGCAAGTGTTTCGGGCGGCCGCAGTCCGCTGAAGGCTGCGGCGCTTTGGCTTCTTTTTGGTGCCCCCAAAATGGCAGACCCCCTTTCGCTGAAGGAAATCCAGCGAAAATTCGTCCGCTTCCCGCGTGGGAATATCCAAAGGGCGGTTCAAAGAATCTGTTACACATGTTTGAAGTGTTGACGCGCCGGACTCTGAGGTTCAATAAGACCGCGGCCTTTTTCCCCGAGGTGCCGCATCGATCCGAACTCGTGCGGTGCACCGTGCGTTTGGTCCGTTTGCTGACTGACCTCTTGGCTTGGTGTTTGCAGTTGGCGTTCTGAGTTCCAGCGGGTGCTGGGGGCATTTTGGCAGAAACATACTTTTCTTCTTGGCCAGCTGCTTGGTCGGCCTAGTTAATGTCGACGGATTGAGCGTAACCCTTGGTAAATAGATAGCAGCGGGGTCCAGAACCAGGTTGATGAAGCTGAGATTGTTTAATAAACCCCTGAAGCTTTGGTTAGCCAGTTGGGAGGTGGGGGGAATCCCTTGCCATTTGGGGGGAGTTCGTGCGTGACCTTGCCTGGCCCCCTTTGAAAACCATACATAAAATGGTTTTCGGCCCTTGAGGACTTGGTCGACATCAATTCCCATTCTGTGGTACAATTCTGAGGGAGTTGCTTAGTCTCACAAAAAAAATGGGCCAGATAAATTGGATATTGCCTTGAAACCAATCCAAAAAGGGGTCCCTCAAACAAAGGAAACGCACAGTGCCTTTCAAATGCTTCCCATTGATGTGAACTTTGGAATGATCTGGAGGATCGTGCTTCCCTTTTGAGTCAGCGCATGATTTTTTAGTATTGGGGTGTCCTCTGATTTAGTGAACATTGCATATCACTTGCTGTCTCTCAGTATGTACTCGCAAGGCTTTTCAGCATGGCCTGTTTGGGGGGATCCCCCCCGGAAAAAGACAATATCAATCACCTGGACGGCCGGCAATTATCCATGTAGCAGTGACCATCAAATGAACTGTAACATGGGTTCCAGTTTGGGGAAGAACACAACCATCCGGACGGCAGGTCGATCGTAAGATATGCCATCTCCAGGCCACCAAGGAGCTGGTGAAGGGCCGGCGCTTCTGCATGCTCTTCGGGGATGGGGTGGGGGACAGCACCATGGCCGACGGCCTCGAAGTAGAGACGCTGAAGGCGAGTCAGACGAGACCCCTCGATTTTTTGCGGCTCCAATTTTTTGTGTGTCCCAACGCCGTGGCGTGGCCGTGGCGTGGGGCGTTGTGTTGTGTGTTGGTGTGTGTGTGTGTGTGTGTGTGAGGAGTGACAGAATACCCTGTCACCACAGGAAAAGCGGGGGGCACGGCAGCTCATTCTCTACCGTGCCAACGAAGCTGTGAGAATGAGCCGGAAGGGAGTTTGGACGCAAACTCCTGTACCTGCAAGTGATTCTGAAAGTCCTTTTGGCCCCCTTGGTTGCGGCGCTGTTTGTGCTTCTTGTTCTTTCGGGTAACGTGTTCGCTGCTAGAGGGAAGCCGAGTGCACCGCGAGCAGAACCCAGTCGAGACTCATCAGTTGTACTCGAGACTCATCAGTTGTACTCGAAAGATTAGCACTCTCCATCTGGAGTTTAAGTGTGTACACCTCATTCGTGGGGAATCCTCGGGTGTACCCATTGTGTGACCCCGGGCCGGCTCTGTCGGAAAATTTGACCTCAACGTGCTTATCATAGAACGGCGGAATTTCAGATTTAATCAGGAACGAGGTTTCACTAAAGGGAAGACAGCCGTCAGATCATAGCTACGTCTCACCCTACGTTCTTTCTTCTCGCCTTCTTCATCCGCGTGCCCGTCTTCTGGCTCTTCGCCCGCTTAGGGATGGCTTCTCCTTCCTCCCGTTCTCTTTTTGCTGCCTTTCGTGACCCGCGCGTTCGTCCCCTCCTGTTCGCCCGCTTAGGGATGGCCTGGTTGTCCTCGCGTTGTTCACCTTTTTCCTCGTCTTCGTCTTCGTGTCTGTCTTCCTGTTCCTACTCCTCTTCTTCCTCACGTAGTTTGGCTTGACGTCTTCTTCCCCTTCCGTTGCTACTTCGGGTCCGTCCTCTTGGCCCCTGTGTGGGATTCGACGTCTTTCTCCGCGAGCCTTGGTCTTCATCCTCTGTTCCTGTCTGGGCGGGATGCGTCGCCCTAAAAACGCATACTACTACTTCCCTCTTCCTCTTCCTTCTTCCTTCTTCCTTCTTTTCTCCTTTTTGTCTCCTTGCCTTCTGCTTCTTGTTCCTTCTTCCCGGGCGGGATGCGGCGCCCTAAATACGCACCCTGCTCCTTTCTTTTTCCCCCCGGGCGGTTGCGACGCCCTAAATACGCTTCTTGTCTCTCTCTCTCTCTTTCTCTCTCTCTTTCTGTGTCTGTCTCTCTCTCTCTCTTTCTTTCTCTCTTTCGTCCCTTTCTTTTCTTTCCTTTCTTTTTCTTTCCCTCTCTGGGCTATCTCTTGTACTTCCTGTTCGCCCGGTTAGGGATGGCCTGTTCCTCTTCTGCCTCTTTGCCTTCGCAGCCCCTTTCGTCTACAAGGTCTAGGTCGTTTTTGCGCTGTTTGGGGTTGTTGCCCTCGGAGACCCGAAACCTGGCTTCCCCGTTGTTCTTGTTTCTTGTTTGGGGTTTTGCCCGCGGTGACCCAACCTGGGGCCTTTCTGTTTTTTTTGGGCTCCCTTGCTCCGTTTGTTTTCTGTTGGGGTCTTCGCCCGGTTTTGGGGCGCGTGTTTTTTTTTCTCCCCCCGAAAAAGTGGTTCTCGCCCCTCTTTGAGGGGCGTGTGTGTGCGGAGTGACAGAATACCCTGTCACCGCAGGAAAAGCGGGGGGCACGGCAGCTCATTCTCTAGCCGTGCCAACGAAGCTGTGAGAATGAGCCGGAAGGGAGTTTGGACGCAAACTCCTGTACCTGCAAGTGATTCTGAAAGTCCTTTTGGCCCCCTTGGTTGCGGCGCTGTTTGTGCTTCTTGTTCTTTCGGGTAACGTGTTCGCTGCTAGAGGGAAGCCGAGTGCACCGCGAGCAGAACCCAGTCGAGACTCATCAGTTGTACTCGAGACTCATCAGTTGTACTCGAAAGATTAGCACTCTCCATCTGGAGTTTAAGTGTGTGTGTGTGTGTTCAAGGGTACCCTTTTTGGGGGGATTTTTGAGGGAAGCCAAAGGGACAATCACAAATCTTGAGGTTCCTGATTCGACACCTTTTTGAGTTTGGCCATGACTCATGCGATAGCAAGCTGTCGCAAAGGTTGGCTTCCTGAACGAAAAGGTGGAGGAGAGATTGCTGGAGTTGCTCGATGCAAGGAAAAGGATGCAGGGGACATTGATTGGACTTAGGAACGTGCGCGGTTTGTCTCCAAATAGGGCCCCGTGAAGGGTGATTTCCCTGGGTCCCAAGACCGGAAATATTGGACTTCAAAAGGCCTCAACTAGTGGGGTCTTGGCACTCTAGGGCATTGGTTTGTTCGCAGGGAGAGTTTTGTCTGAAAAACGACACGCGACAGCTCGCGCTGCCGAAGGTTTCAGCAGAAGTTCGACGTGGTGGTCACGGGGGATGGGCCAGTGCCGGAGCTCGCCTTCGCAGCGATCGGCGCGAAGTCGGCGGCGTTGGCCTAAAAAGGGGGCGCTGCAACAAGTTCACCACGCGGCGGCGTTCTCGGGGTTCGTCCGTTTTTTTCGGACGATTGTAGAGGTTCCTCAGGAATCATGACCATGACCCACAGAAGATATCATTTAGGTGGACGTTTCGCTTCCCAGTTGGGGGATTCGCTCACACATTTCGGGGAGAGCAACGCTCCCACCAATGAACATGGAACCTGATGTTTAGGGGGTCCTGGTGTGGACAATCTGTCAAAAGGGGCTATTTCCCTGTCAGGTTCCGTGTCAATTGCTGGGAGGCGAACACCCCCTCCTTTTGGAAGCTCCTGGGAATCGCAGCAGCTGAGGTCTGGAAGTTGTTGGGCTGGGACCCTGCTACCCCCGAGCACCTGCATGAGGACCGATCGTCCGAATTTCCGATAGCAGGGGGAGTGGGAATTTCGGATGTGTGGGTGACTTTTCCTCGTCCAAGTTACTACCCTTTCATGATGCCCCTATTGCTCTGTCCTTTTTTCTTTTTCGGTACCCCTCCAAAAGGGTGGTTTTCTTCTTGGTTTCCCTCACAAGTCACCAACAAATGGGTACCCTAACGAAAGACGAACCCATATCCCAGGCTTGTTTCCCGAAGTTTGGCAATGGGATTTCCCCAGCCCAGGAAACCTCTGAGAATCTCAGGAAGTTCATTTGAAGTCCTGTCGCTGGGCAGATGAAACCCCAAGAGCTCGTTTGGTCGAAGGACAAGACACATGTTGCACCATCATAGGTGGATTGGGCACCATGTCATGCAGGGGTTCCATTTTCAGCATTCAAGGCAGGGCGATGACGGTCCAGTTCCTTTTTCATCGTCATTCCACTCCTTTGAGTCCCCTGCCTTCGGAAATTTTCTGCGGAGGAGCCGCTCGCCAAAACTACCAAGACCCCTGGTTCTACGACCCCTCCGGTTTTTTTTCTCTCCCGAACACGTCTTTAAACCCCAAAACCTCTCCGCGTGGCGGATCTGCTTCCCCGGGAATCGGCGTCGCTCGTTCGGAGAGCGGGGCTGGGTCGAGGAGCACGCCGGAGCCATCTACACCTCGCTCTTGGCGTGGCCTTCCTCAGCCCCTGCCTCGCTTTTTCCTCGTTGCGGGGTGTTGTTTTTTGTGAGCCACGTGCTCAAAACTCCGGGTAGAAGGTGAGTAAGAGTGCGGGGAGCCACCAGGCTCTTGTGGAAGATGGTTTCTTTGAGAATTCTTGGGAGAGAAGGTTAGTAAGGGACCATCCGCCTTCTTAATTCTTGAAACATGGTTCTGAGTCGACCATTTGAGTACCGGGTTTTGATTGCGGCTCTGGTGTGCGTGTACACTCCCTCAGACTGACATGGCTGTGGTTGTCAAAACCAGTGGGATCCCATTTTGGTTGGTAGGTGAATTCGCCACCCATTTTAGAACCTATTTTAGCGGGGATTGGGATGTTCACTGGGGGTACGGGCTTCTGACTCATGGCCACATGGAAGCTCCCAGAAGGCCTCAGATGGAACCAAGTCTTCCAAAAGGGGTCCTGGAAGCTTCTTCATGCTAGTCTGGGTGTGCGAGGCTCTCTCTCTCTGTGTTTTGGTTGTGAGGGTAGGTTTTGTTGGGTTGGTTATTGGCCTAAGGTGTTTCAGTCATTGCTATTTTGAGACACACGAGAGATCCGGTACACCCTGGGATTATGAAGCCAGGAAGCACATAGCACATGTGGGTGCAATCTCAGGAGGTGATTCAGACAGCCTGACTCTGCAATTTCTGATGTACTGGCGTCGCAAATGACAACTGGCAACACTAAGGGGTGCCCTAGGGATCAAACGGCTTGTGGCACATGTTGATTTTGAGGCCATCTTCTTGTGGGGTTTGGTTTTAATGCCACAACCTGTGACCCGTTAGGATGTGATTTGGCGCTTTGGGATTCGAGGCACACCTGGGGAGCCCCGCAAAGCACGGCATTTGCCGCCGTTTTGGTGTTTAAGCATATGGGCGTGGCTCAAAATTAAACAGGAGTTACACAGGTTTTGGTCCATATCAGGGTTCCATTTTGGTACCGGTTTTTTGAGCCACAGCCGTATTGACAACCATTTCTGGAGTCCAGTTCCCAACCCACCGCCCTTAGAGTGGTTTTATCCAAGTCTTGCTGTTGACTTCGCGGAACAAGGGCTGGTTTGCATCGTCGCGCGTTTGTTTTCCTCTTTTTTTTGTGGCTGTGCAGGTTCCTTGCGGAGAAGGCTCAGGTCCCTTTAGTTTTGTTCACTTGAAACGGGGAATGCACTTCAGCTGTTGTTGAGAGGGTCTTTATGCCCATAAAACCGGGAGCGGCGTGCAGGCCAAGACTTGGTTGATGGGGGTGGTTTGGATTTGGATGTGCAGCCCTGTTTCTTGTAGAGGGTAAACGTGGTTTACCCCTCAACCACCAAACCGCCGATTCTGCACTCCAAACCAAATAGAGGGAAGCTGATTGTGCCGTTTTCAGAGAAGCAAAACCCCCCCCCCTCCACCAAAGCAAAGATAAGCTGTTTTTAAGAGAAGAACCCCCCCCCCCCCCGACTCTTCACACCAAAATACAGGGAAACTGCTTGGCCCAGCCCATGTTGGCTCAGCTCGTCGTTTGCGAAGTACAAAATGGCGCTGCCGCTCCTGCGGCTTTTGGCCGCGGGGGCGGCGGTGTGGGCGGCGTCCGCGACCCGGTCTGTCGGGAGCAGCCTGTCGCTGCATCCCACCCCGGCCATCTGCAGAGTGCGATGCCGCACGGAACCTTTGGTGCATGTTGCCAAAGGATGTTAGGACTTCAACTTTTTGCCAACTAACGGGTTTTCCGTATTAAGCCACTAAAAGTTATTTTCACTTTTAGCAGGGCTTCGCAGATTTCGCAAGCGAGGAACAGTCGTGCACGGACTGGCCGGCTACCTGCCTGGACTGCCCGGTCTGCGAGGAGCGGGGATTTGGAGCCAAAAGAAGTGGTTGTTTTTTGAGTAGCTCACCGGCCAGCAGACATGTGTCAAGGGAAGTGGTTGCTTTTTGAGTAGCTCACCAGCCAACAGATATGTGTCAAGCAAGAAGCCGGCAAAAAAAACAACCAACCACCACAGAATCTCCGGAATCGGGGGTTCTCTTGAGAAAGGAATCCTTGTCATTCGCAGCTTTGGAGTTCAGAGATCAGCGTTCCAAAAAATTATCCTAGCGGAAGACCACTGAATATGATTTGAATCACCCCTGCGGCATGTCCTCTTTCCTTTGTGGGAAGTCCTTCCCTTTCACCGGAAGACCACTCGTTTTGACCGGCGGACATCCGCCAGCGAGCCAGGATTTCCGGAAGCAGCCGGACGTCGCGCCGGAGGAGTGTCCCAGCTACTGCATCAATGCTAAGTGGTGCATCCTGATGAGCTCCCCAGCTGTGTTTGGGTACTCATCTTTTTGTTGTTTTTTCCTTGTTTTTTTTTGGCGTGGTTTAGAAGTTCATTTCCTCATTCTTTTTCTTTTTCCCGGCAGAGGAGCCTTGACTTCAACCGAATTTCCGCCCATCGGACCAAATTCCGACTTGAGGGGCTTTCCTTAGGGGCCCTCAATCAGGCAACCCCTATTTGGTTGTCCGGATTGGTGGGATTTGAACCCCAACTTTCTCATGCTTTGTTTGGATTCTCAAATTAGGGTGGGGACCATTTTCTTACGGATTTTCCTGCAAAGAAGCTACAGAGTTCCTGATTTTGAGCTAGACCCACCTTGTAGTTATGTGTATATATATATATACACACATGCATATAAAATTAGAGGCTTTTGCAAAGAAACCGCATGGGCACCACCCATTTTGTGGGTTCTCTCATTTTGAGACAAACTGCTCAACCCTTGCACCCATGTTGGGTTGGCTCCGGTTTTCATGCGACCCGCTATCTATTTGGCTTGTGCGGGGGGGGGGGGGGGTAGGGGTTGTTGGGGATCGACTTTGTCAAACTTACGCGGGGTAGCCACATTGATAATCCATTCGCAATACATGTCATCAAAGAGACGGAGGTTCCCCCGAAAAAAAAAGAAAAAAGCAAGGAAAGGAAGAAAGAAAGAACGAAAAGCCCAGGTGATATCCCCAACCGCCCTGGAACCCTCCGAGAAATCTGCTAACCGCCCGGAAGGAGCCGGTTTGGGCCTACCAAATCCATAGCTTTCAGAGGAAACTTGGGAGCCGATCATTTCCATTTCAGGGAGCAAAATTGATGGCACCTCTCCCCCCAGCCGATCCGTCGCCTGGGCTCTGAGTTCGAAAGGCTCCCTCCAGTTGCTTAAGTTTATATATATATATATGTCCCTTGTTGGTTTTAAAAGGAATACAGCCATATTCTTTATTTTTTCCTGGGGCCTTCACCAAATGGAAGGCTCGGTGTGCACCCCGCAGCGGTGCCCCCACATCTGCGCGGATGAGACGGGGGCGGCGCCGGTGGTGCCGGCGGAGATGCGGCCCCTGAACGAGCTGATGCTGGAGCTGGAGGGCTTAGTCGGCCTCGGCCAGGCGGCGGTGATACATGTGGATGTGGGTATGGGTCAAAATTAAACCACCAAGAAACCACCAGGTTTTAGCCCATGTTTCCATTTGCTAAGGCAAGCCATTTTGGGTTAGCATATTTTTGACCCACAGCCATGTGGCGCAACAAAATTGGGGAATCGGCCGAAAAGGGAACCCTGGCAAATGGAGGAAGTCCTTGATATAGGGTCCAGAGATGACTGGCCATACCGGTATACCCCTGATTTAACAAGGGAATCCTGTCAGCTGGTACTTGGGGTGATTTCTTTTACTGGCCCAAATGTATCCTTTGAGGGACACAGTCCTAGATGTTGTCCACTATCCCCCAACGCAAACCACCGCCGGTATATGCTTGTTTCATCGCGGATAGTGGCCTTGGGGTGGTTTTGGGGTAGTGGAAACCACCGTAAATACTTGCCAAGGGATGTTTGCTCGACCTTTCTGGACAAACCTTTTGAGGGTTCCATTTCTGAATACTCCAAACAGAACGACTTGAACCCATGATATGGGTGGTCTTGATTCTTTCTGACCTGACTTACATCTATCAGTGCCTTTCGGCTCAAAAAAAGGGGTCTGTGCAATTCAATGTTTAGGCTTATCACCTTTTGGCAGAGGTTCCAACAACTCACTCCACAAAACATTCAGCTTTTGGGAGAATGGGAGCCTGCCCAGATGGGCCAGTTTTGGGCTTTCAGGGACGGGTTCCCAAGATTGGGTTCCAGGGTGGTTCCGGGGCTCCTTTTTTAAAATGATAACTATTATTTTTATTTGTATTGTTATATATATATATATATATATATAAATAATATATATATATATACATTTTGTGGGGAGGGGTTACGCCCCCCAACAACTCCATCGTGGGTGAAGGTGAAGAGCCAGATGAAGGAGCTGATCGCCCAGGCGCGGGATTCGGGGCTTTGGGACCCCAAAAATGGGACCCACTGGGGAAGGGCGGGTGGGTGGGTGGGTGGGTGGGTGGGTGGGGGGGTTTGGGGGGTGGGGGGGTGGGGGGGTGGGGGGGTGGGGGGGGGGTGGGTGGGTGGGCGGGGGGGGAGGGAACTCCCTGGACAAAAGGGCGTATTGCGACTCCTGTGGTTTGTTTTTGCATGCAACTTGGTCTCTAAGTCTAAGCGTGTATGGTCAATGGGGGCCGGGGACCCATACAACAGCGCCTGACCGTCGGACGAATCTGGTTTGAATGGCCGATGTACAGGGATTCCAGGCTTTAGTGGGTGAATTGACCAGGGTGTGCTACTTTTTGTTTTGGTCAGGGTGTTTTTGGGACGCCAACCCCGAGCCCCCCCCCTTCCCCCCTACTAAGGCGCTGATCATGCATGTTGACCTTTACCGCGGCTTTCCCTTAACCGAAACTGGAATCCAAAGACAGGGGTATCCAAGAAAGAAAAAGAGAATGGTGCGCCCGCCCTTTGTTTGCATTGCCATTGGCTTTCCCGTGGGCGAACGAAAAAGAACGAGATCCACAGTGGTTCTGTTGCTTGCCTCCTTGCCTCCTGATGGTCTGAAAGGTTTGGGACGGTTTTGGACATCCGAGATGTTTGCCTTAAATCACGTTTTTTCTCCCCCAAGGTTTCTTTTTCGCAACTACCTATCATGATACCAGGGGGGAAACTCCGCAGCACACTATCGAAGCCAAGTGCTGGTGTTTGACTTGAACGGAGTTTGCCCACTCGTGGCTTCGTGGCACGTTCATCAGTGCACGTACACCTTTGTGTTCCAATGATATATTTGTGAATTTCTTGCCGCAAATGAGGGCATCCATTGTTGTGGCTCCTTTTTTTCTACTCCCCGTAACCACTACCCAAGCCGCTACCCCCAACCCACTTCCCGGGTGTCTACGTTAACAGGCAATACAGCCACTACAAAGCCATTTGGTTTTCAGGGCATATCTTTTCTCGTTTTTTTTTGGTTTAGGTGGACACCAGTGCGGACAGCAACTTAGTTGACAGCCCAGCTAAACCATGTTTAAAACCTCTATTCTTTATATAGACGACCTCCTTGTGGCAAACGCGTTGGGTACGGAATCGGGGTGAGCCGTTTAATCACATGTTGTTCACCCTGTCTAGGCGCTTTTCGAAGCGGATACCGAAAACAAAAAGAGGAGCCCCCCCCAAAATTCGACCACCTGGGGTTTTTAGACCGCGTAAAGGTACCTTTTCTGGGAAGAACTATCGATTTCTTTGAGGTAGACTTCAACCTGCAGCGCAGCAAGCTGAGCCTCCCGGACATCGGGGGCCAGTCGTTGCACATGGCCTTCTTAGGGAACCCCGGCACGGGGAAGACTGTGGCGCCTTGGTACGGCTGAACCGGTTCCGGACGCGGCGGGACGGGTTGCCCGGTGGGATGAACAGCAATTGGTTTCTGTTTTCTTCCTGACCTTCTTCTTCTTCTTTTCTTCTATTTTCTTCTGCCTTTTTTGATAAACATGATTTTGTGTGTGTGTGTGTGTGCGGAGTGGCAGAAAACCCTGCCACCAAAACCGTTTTCTGTTGCAGCAGGGGGCCAGCGGCCATCAAGCAAACGCTGGCCAACGAAGCTATGCTTGATGGTGGATGCACGGATTGATCACCCGTGTGTACCTGCTTTTGTGAAGTGATGTTGATGAAAGTCCAGTTGGCCGCTTCTTTTGCCGCTGTGTGTGCTTCATGTTGAACCTTGTAACGTTTTCGACACTAGAGTGAAGCCAAGTGACCTGCCAGCCAAGCCTTATCCGACTTGAGACTTGTCAGTTGTACTCGAGCCTCATCAGTTGTACTCGAGACTCATCAGTTGTACTCGAAAGATTAGCACCCTCCATCTGGAGTTTAAGTGTGTACACCCCATTCGTGGGGAATCCTCGGGTGTACCCATTGTGTGACCCCGGGCCGGCTCTGTCGGAAAATTTGACCTCAACGTGCTTATCATAGAACAGCGGAATTTCACATTTAACCAGGAACGAGGTTTCACTAAAGGGAAGAAAGCCGTCAGATCATAGCGACGTCTCACCACAGTTGATAGTTGCCGATTTTCATTGCATTTCCTGACCATTGGTTGAACATGTTGCTCGTATCACTGCGGTTGACGATTGCTGACTTGTATTTGCTTTGCCTTGTACATTTCGATCGACCATTGCAGTTGAGGGCCGCTAACTTGCATTTGCATTGATTTGAATGTTGTCGGGTCTGATTCTCTCAAGGTGGAAGTGTGCAAATTCAGAGTCAGTTGCGTCACCATGTCTCGACGTGATGATCGTGATAGATCCAGGACTCGACGCAGACGTGATCGGAGTCCGTCCCCTCAAGCTCACAAAGCACGCCGACGTGAGCACAATGACAACCAGGTCTCGGAGAACATGGATTGGAACAACTTGGTTTCATGGCAACACAACTCCGGCTACAACGCTGCTAACAACTTTCCGATGATGCCTACCAATTTTCAATCGACTCACAACCCCACACAACAATTCCAATACCCGGCGATCAACTACATGATGCCGATCCCTCCTGATCCCACGCCATCCAAGTTCATGCCACCAGTGATGCCACCACCGGTCACTACTTCCCAACCTACACCGTCACCTGGACCTCCTGCGGCTCTACCGGTTCGTCCTCAGAAAGCCTGGCTTACTCCCTCGCCTGACTGGACACCTGGAGACGGCATGTTTGATGTCAATCAACTCTACAACTTCAGCCTGCCCATGACTGTTGCCAACACTCCGCATGGCAACCTTCGCGACATGTCAGGCATGGATATTAGGGACGTACGCCTGGTTCAGGTTATCCACGGGGGCCTCACCAACTGGCTACTCAGGCCGTTTGCACACGGCCGATTCGTGACGTGGGAAGGCTTTCGCACCCGCACTGAGGCCTTACTTTGGAGTACCTGCTCCAAATTACTACGAAGATCGCAGTCACTCAACCTGCTCACCCTGGAAAAGGACCTTGCCAACACGCTGGGTCTCAACATTGATGACTTCAATCAGCGCATCAAGGTCCACGACCATTTGGCCAACCTGGTACTTCAATTTCTTCAACAACATCACACCTCTCTCGCACCTGCCGCCCAGACCGATGACATGGTCAAAAAGTTCAATGATTTGAATCGTGCACACGAACTTCTCCAAGCTCAGTATTCCGCATCACTTCGCGCATCGACCTCGCCCACGATGACAAACCAGAAGGATGATGCAGAGTTGGTTACACCGCCACCGGTCAACCACACACCATCCTCGTCACCTGCCAGCTCCCTTCCCACAGCCAGCGCGGCCGCCCTGGATGGCAAGTCGTTTGATAGCGTGGTGCAACCTCGGATCATGCAGTCTCTTCACGGAGTGTCGTCACCGCCGTCCAAACCGGCGGCGTCACAATTGCTCACCATGCACAGCACGCCGGATGAAGTTGTCAAGTACTACACATGGACCAGTGACCAACCTCGCCTTTTCCTCAAGCAAGCACCCACAACAACCACTTTGGCATCGCTGGTTAAGTGGGCCAATCACCCGTCCCGGCTCAACGGCAACAAGTCATTAGATTCTATGGCGACGCAGCTTCTTCAGGCGAGGCAACGCATGCCGAAAGGCGATGCACCCACTCTCGGTGCAATGGCCGCGTCATGGGGTCTAGAACCCGGATATCTTACCAAACTCACTGAGAAGGCATTGAGTCACCTCATCGTGACCGCTCGCCTGCTCTGTGGATGAGAAGGCATCATGATGAGCTTCGTTCTCATATGAGCCCGGAGCGGCAACAATGTCACGGATGAGTCCAGGTGAAAACTCGTCCGTCAAGTGTCTGCGTTGCACCTGATTGATCTTGTACTTGCTTGTTCTTGCATTGCCTCTTGTTTGATTGTCTGTGATGCTTGTATTCATGTCGCCGCCTTGTGGTAGATTTCGTTGGTTGCATCTCACCATGTTGGATGAACTTCGCCGCTGCGGAATCTATGATGATGTTGCACAATGGCAGTCGCTGTACGACCTTCTGCACTCGTTGACCATATTCTCTACGTGCTGGCATTACTGTTTTCCTGGACTACCACCACCGTCGATTCCAATTGAGGAGTACGAATCCATCACACAATTGCCGTGGCTGGGTCTCATCCTCGAGGTCTTAGTTGTGGTCCGGATAGCCCTTCAGATTCCGAATCGCGCTATGTCCAACTCTCAGCACACCGTGGCCAACAGGTACGAGCTTCACAGATGTCGGTGCGCTGCCTATTTATTGATCAGTTTCTTACAACGTCTCATTTCACAAGATCACGGCTACTTCCCGCCGTTCTTCGAAGTCCTTCACTTCTACAAGACTTCTCTCTTGTGTGAAATCATGCACTCAACTTTCGCTGACACGCGACATCTACGCTCATTGCGGGCGCGATTTCCTGACCTCTACGACTTCATACATGATCCAGGTCATCACCAACAACCGTGCGTCTACATTCGACTTTCCCCATGGCACACACCATACTATGTTGGGGCGACTGATCAGGATGTTCTACGTCGTGAACACTCACGCAGTCGCAAATTTCTACAACTACTTCGTGGACGGCATGCCTTCTTTGAACCGGCGCTTCACTACTGGAAGCGATCCAATACTTACTGGCTCTTCTGTGCTGTACCAGTGGAAATCAAACTTCCAGTTTCCTCGGTGTGGGTTCAAGAAAGCAAATGGCAATACCAGCTACGCCCGCATTTGAATGCGCCCTGGGTACACAGAATCTTGCGCAAGGTGGGCTTCCGGGAACATCTTGTAGATTTTCGACGCCACTCGTTGTCGTCTCCCACTTCCCTCGGCTTGCACAAGCGCTTTCGACGACGACTACATCCGGATCTCCAACGGCAACTACGACCTGACACCCTGGATGACATTCAAGCCCACTACTCGATTCTCTATCAGCTGGGATCGAATACAGGAGCGTCGTTCCAAGTCATGCGTGACCTACTGTCGGCCGCTTTCCCTCCCACTCAGCTGTACTACTTATTGCGGCTCGCAGTCTTTGTCAACGAGCCCTTCCGCTCCAAGGCCCAGAAGCTCCTCGCCCAGGTACTGCACAAACGACGGCTACAACCACCCACCACTTTAACACAGCTACTCTTGCCACCGCTACATGTCCAGAATTGGAAAGCTCTACTGGGCACATGGTTACAAAGCTGGATTGCTTCTCATCGGGATCTGTTCCCTTCTCTTTTCATTCCAAAGATCCGGGTTGTGGAAACTCGCAGCGCCACATTGGGCGACAAGATATACAACTATCGCACATGGCAGCGCAAATGGACGCCTGACACCTTTCCGTGTCGCTGTTTGGACATCGATGATCACCATCTACACCGTGCACATGGTCACGCAGTGATGGTGGATGAGTTTTCTCGCATCAATGCGGACATTAACATTGAAATCATGGCCGCCTCAATGAAGGATCAGTTTTTCGGTGATGTCGACTTATTGCATCAACGTTTCACCACACAACTTCGCAAACTTGCTCGCCGCTGGCATGTACATGGTTCCGGTCTACTTTCAGATCTACAGCCAGTTGTGACTCAGTTAATGGATACTCATCGGATGAACCTCCAAGATCGGGCTTATTGGTCATCGACATCGTTGCAACGCACTGTGGCTTCTTTGTCTTCGTGGGTAGTTATCCCAGCGGATCATTTTCCCTCCCGCGCACATGTGATGTGCCCGTCCCTGTTTGCCATATTGATGCGGAAGACATTCTGCGCGGGGGATGTCTTCTCACTTTGCCGCGAATCCGCAGCATCCTTTCGCTCTGAAGTGGTAACCACGGTACCTTCTCTCCTACGTCAACGATATGCATGGGGACTTCGACTTCAAGCACCGTTGCCCACAGCGCGCATCCTCCCAAAGCCGACCAAGGACTGGCAGAAAGCTCGACCCATCATTTCATTCTTTCGCACATGGGCAGCTCCCTTCCTCACGGTCTTCGGTGCACTCATATTTGAACTCACCAAGGCGGCCTTCCCCGACATTGCAGGTCAACTCTCAGTACAAGAACTTATCCAGCAGCTGTGGGAAGCACTGTCAAAAGCAGATCCTGATGAGTACATCCACCTGGTGTCGCAAGACTTGTCAGGCTTCTTCACGTCCATTCCTACGGAACGATTCCACCAGGCGCTTCAAGTGCTTCTCCATCGATACGATCAAGTTGTTGGCCTTCGCGGTTCCTCACAATGGTCCGTGTACGAAGTCAAGTCAGATCATCGACGCCGTATGTTCAAAGGAAAGTGGCGCCGTCAAACCAAGATCCCTCGAATTTTTCGTGAACAAGATCTCCGGCACCTTCTGGACTTTGTCA